GTAAGTATTGACCTCTTCTGCAGAGCTCTCTGGCCCAGGACTCCAGCCCCTCCCCTGTTTCCCACCACCGTGAACTGTACGGCGGCAGCAGGTGTCTGGGATACTGAACAGCTCGTCAGAATTGATTCGGCTTTTACCTTTAGCACCTGTTGCTTACAGACTCACAGTTAGACATCGCCAGAGGACCAGACCACGTGGCTATCTGCCTGCCGTCCTGGTCACCCCACAGGTGCCCTTGTGTACCCAGGTGGTTGGGAAGGGCGGCTGTTAAGGAGTGAATTGCATAGTGCCCTGATGCTCCAGATAGGTGGCAGTAGGTGGAAGCAAAACGTTAGGAACCACGCGTTCAAATGATCATGGAGGCTTCTCCCAGTAGCCCCTTAGCCTTCACCTTTGCATTCCTGTGCCGAGAGTGCCCTGTGAAGACAGGGGTAAGTCTCACCACCAACACTCTGCCTCTTGGTATTCCCCCCAAGTACCCCAACTACACGCCTGTAGTTTCCAACAGGTCACTTTTTGCTTTCTCATCTTGGTCTTAAGAATGAGTCTAGAACTAGGAGGGTTATCTTATCTAGATCCTGGTGAATAGTCTTCTCTGGCTGAAACCATGTGAGCAAAGACCAAGATGCACAATTTGAGGGGAAGACAAGACATCTGCTAAAAGGCCCTAAAATGGAGCAAACTGCAGCCAGGGTGATCAGCTCACTGTCTCCCTAACAGTAAAGCACCCATTGCACCCTCCCTGCTGAAGGTGGCCTGTTTGTGAAAAGCAGATAGACTGAGTTCCAAGCAGTCAGTTTTCCTGCAAAGCAAAGCACATTTTCAAATCTGGACAATTACTGTGCTTCAAAATTGATTTACCTGTTATCCCCAATCTGTATGACCTCTTTAAATCCATTAGCTTCCCGAGTAGAACATCTGTTTGGCAAGCTTTCTAAGGTGCGAGGAACCTGTCACTTAACTGAGGCTATTCAATGGTTGGGATTTTTGTTTTCCATAGAGGTTGAGGTCACCAATGTGGGAAAACATTACCAAAAGGTGTGGTTTACTCCCCCAACACACTTTGTTGGCTTCCCTTACTGTGCATCTAGAGAATAATGAAATGCAATATTTGTGATTTTTTTTAAATACTCATCCAGTGGTGTTCAAGAGTCCAAAAATGTCTCATTACTTGAGCTCGTTGAACTGGGATTGTGTATATAAGTGTTTTCCCTAGCAGATATGTGGGAGAAAAAGCAGTTGAGAGAAATGCTTCTGTTCTCTAGATATCCCTCCCACCCCTTAATCTGAGTCTCAGTCTAACAATCAGAGGAGAACAGTCACCTATGGCTAACTCAATTATCACTGTTCATGGAGAAGAGGTGTAACCATAATGAAAATAAAGTCCCACGTAACCCAGGCACTCCTGCATTAACCTTTGCGAGTAGTGATGTCGAATAGCACCGCAGGATGATTTCAGTTGCATGCTCATGTAATTTTTTCCCTGCCCATGTTTCTTACATCCTGTCGCTAGTATATGAGCTGCTCGTTGGGATAGTCCCTAGGTAACTGAGAAATTATGAAGCAGAGACATGCTAATAGCCTGAAAAGTTGAATTACTGTCTTGACTTAAGAGATTAACCAGATATGTGAAAATCTAAAATCAGTGCTGGACTTGGCTTGGATGGAATATTGTCATTATAACAATGTCACATTGTTAGGTATGATTACCAAGTGCATTGCGATAATAGGACTAATGGGATCAGACGCTACACTGTGTGTGACAACTCAAATTAACTATAGATTTCAGCCATGTTTTTAAATTGAACATAATTGCTTGTCCAGTACATCATGTATGGAATAGCATTCAGCCACTTCTTTTCTTGGAAGAGTCAATTTTTTTTTCCTACAAGTGCTGCTTTTGTTGTCACACGTGTTTAAAGGGGAAGCGGCTGCAGGAATGAACCAAGCCATTGTTGTGCATTTATTTATCTTGCACTTTTCCAACATCAACATACATCAGATGGAGTTTTTGGGGTCAAGTTGGATAGAAAAGCTGCCCCTTTTATCTTCAAGGTTCTAACGTTCTTATCACTAACATCTGATTTTTTTTAATCCTGTTTGCCCACTCACCTGCTGATATTGATGGGGAAAAAGCAAAACTTCTTGAAGACTGTAAGTGTCTTTATATAAATTACTAGGGAGTGTGAAAAGTTGACCATGTCTTTGTTTTGTTATTTTTTAATTAATACATTGACTTAAATGCACAATTTCATTTTTTGTAATGAGTGTCTTTTTAAACCCGTGTGTTTAGCTAAATAATGCCTTTATAAACCCAGGAGCAAATGTGCTTTATTACACGCGTGAGTTCTGAAGATTCGGCTCCTGCAGTTTCTGTTACCATTATGCGGCTCCACTAACTTATGAGCTTTATTCATATCTGATGTAACTCAATGAGAAAATCCACACGGTTTAGATTGATTATCTGGTTCTAAATGCTCCTACATTTTTTCTGGTACGAAGATGTATCTTTTGGTGTCTATTAAAGGATGAATGAAGGTTTATCCCAGGCAGTAGCGACATGCTCTCTCGGCTTTCTAACCTTTAAGACTCTGTAGAGAGATGTTCAGGTGCCACACAGCCAATTTGAATACTATGCAGAAGTCACACAGCCCACTCACTCCAGCTTGGAGAGGCTTGCCCAAGCGAAACCTGCTGCTGTCCCTGCCTGGTGAGCAGCATCTACTACCTAGCCCAAGTCCTTCTTCAGACTTTTCTCATTTTCCTTTGATGATGGATCCACCAGGAGACATATGAAAAACCACATTTTCCTTATTTACAGCAAAGCACTTGTTCATTGTCAGGTAGCTTGAGCAGTGTTCAAAGGGCTTCGTCTGGATAGTAAATGTCTGATAGTTAGCATTAACCTCTGAGGCAGCCAGGCAGTAGCACATGAATAGAAATGCTGCATTTGAAACCACCAAACCTGTGCTCTGTTATGCCCAGGACAAGGAATGGAACTGAACTGCTTTGAAGAATCCCCTTCACATTGCCTGTGTCTGTTTGGGGGAAGGGGGTGTAGAATTCCAGGTTTTCCTCTGTTATCCCAAGCTTTCTACTCTCAGAACCTGAAGGGCTGATTCAAAAGTGAATCTGGTTCAAATAAAAATAATTGTGATCATAACTTTGAAATGACTCACATCGTGGAACCATGACAACTTTGGCAGGTACTGAGAAGTGGGCACGAATTATGAATCCCGCCAGCAACCCTAGGAGGCAAATGTTACTTTTAGACTTTTTTTGCCTCTCAGGGAAGTGGAGCAAACAGAGCTTAAGAAATTGGCTTGAAATCTTCTAGCCAGGAAGAAACAAACTAGTATTTCTCTACCCAGGCACATTGCTGTGTAGCACTGAAGCATGATGGCGCTAGAATAATGCGTGTTCCATGTTTACCACAGAGGCTGGGAAGGGCAGCTGACTTAACTGGAAGTTGGAGAAGAGAATCAGGTGTCGCTACCAGGAGGGTTACGTTATGCTGTTCAGTAGGGGATATTTAGTAAGAGCTATCAAGTGAACTACAACCAAGGCAAGAGAACTAACCCACGTTTGCTGATTTGTAAGACCTTGGATATAGAAATGATCCATTTGGCCATAGCAACAATTAGCCAAGAGAGAAAAGAGTGGAGGACAATTGTTGGGCTTTGGGAAAGGCTTGGTTGGCAAATAGAAGAGTTTTACAAAAGAAGCTGAGAACATAGGCAAGGAAGGGGAAGATCTGGAAGATGAAACACTTAAGTGGTCAGGGAGCAACTCCAGCAGCAAAGGAAAATGAGAGTCAGAGAATCTAATGCAGAGGAGAGAATGCTGGAGCAGGGCCAGGGCACGGCACAGCTGCAGGGATAACACCAAGCACAGAGAGGTCTGTACCAGCTTTCTCAGTCCTATTGACATCAGCAGCCACAAAAAAGATAGTGGTGGAACTTGCTCTGAAAATTATAAGATGTTAGCAGCATGCCTGGCTTTACCCTCTGGATACCAGTAATGGCAGTCAAAATTTTCTCCAGATATGGCTGAATGTTCTGGAAGTATAGGGGCAAATCACCCTTGTTGAGAACCACTGGTTGGTGTTTTAAAAGCTCTGCTGGCTGCTGTTCAAGGCAGTGACGTTTCACCAAGAGTGTTCAGGTTTGCATCTTTGGTTTATTCCTTCCTTGTCAAGCTGTTTCTGCTTTCCTGAGCATCAGAGCTGGAATGGATTATTTTCACCGTCCCTTCCTGTCCTAACACTTTGTCACTTTGATTCATAATCGTAGCAAAACTTGAATCTTAGAGCATACCCTATACCAGCTGCCTCCCGAGTAGATTGTTCTGGATCAGAACTATACTTTCTACCAGTGAGTTTAATAAATCATCGCGCAATGCATTAAAGTGTTGAGATGGAAAGAACATCTCCTACAACAGACAATTTTATCTTTGTTCTTAATTCACCTACCTCCTGGTCTAACGTGGACACATCAAATTTCCAATTTAACAATCATTTTAGTATTAACTTCTCAAATGTGTGTGTTTCCAACACACATTAAATTATATTGGCACAATAAGGGGCTATAATTCAGTTGCTCTTTCTTAAGAAAAATGCAAACTTATAACTTACATTTCATTCAGCATCATCCTTTGAACCTAAGGAATCCAAAGATTTCTCATTGTTACATCAGAAAAGAAACTGTTAATTTCAGGCTTGTGTTTGTACTTATTTTCTGAAACTTTTAGTGTGGAAAAAAAATGGACATTGTGATTGGCCCTGAAGTTTCTAGAAAGAAGTTGTGTTTTGGCTCGACAGTTTTGGGGAGAATTTTAGGAGGTTTTTTTTTTCTAGGAGACAATGGAAAATATTGATAGCAAAGGCAGCCTGAGGCAGGAGATGCTTGTCACAGGGCAAAATGGTTGCATTTATACTGTTAAGTGACTTGTTTACCTTGCTCTTCTCTCTCTATAAACAAGTGGTACAGCCTCCAACCATCACTCAACAGTCTCCAAAGGACTATATCATTGACCCTCGGGAGAACATTGTAATCCAATGTGAGGCCAAAGGGAAACCTCCTCCAAGGTGAGCGCAGCTTTCTGTTTTCTTGTGGGGACCAAGAGATCTGTCTGAGTACAGAAATAAGTTTGGAAATTTCTGTAGACCAAGATAAACTGATAAGGTAAAGCACCGCTGCTTTTTTTAGACTTACGGATCCATCTGCCCCACCTCCTGTCCCACTTCAGCCCTTCAGCATTATTAACGATAGTGTCTTTAGATCCTGCATATCCATACGGTATCATCTGTAGGTTTGTTTGTTTTGTATCTCTGCTTACTCAGAATGAGTCAATTCTTCTCAAAAACCCAGATTACTGTATTTTTTATCATGATGCCCTCTTTTCTAAATGCCGGGAATTGTAGGGAGAAGTGGGAAAAGTCCTCTGATGTGGTTCTGACACTAACGGCTTTCTGACACGGGCAAGTTCCTCTTCTGAGGGCTTTGCATCTGGTAATTTCCAAGATCTTCCCCATCTCTGCAGTGGTTCTAAACCTGCTGAGACTTCCATCTTCAGGACTCTCCCTGGGGATCTTGGCAGGACGTTCCATAGCATCCTAGAGTTGGGAGAAGCCATGAAGAAGGTGCAGGGCAACCCACACATTTGCAGATGGAATTTGAAGTCCAGTGATGCCAGGGAACTCAGCCAGCTTCCCACAGATGTGGGTCTATAATTTTTCCAGTGATCCTGGGGAGTTTGGGAGAGATGGGTTCTTCTTAATGTGGACTTTGAGGTAATGAAGAAGATGTTGTATTTCTAGATGTATTCTACAGATCTCTTTACACAATCCCAGTTGAGGAAAAACAAAATTAGTACTAGCACCTGAAAAATGTTGAGTTATATTCAATGTCTCCATCAAAGGTTTGCTTCAGAGCAATGTTCTTGCGAACTCTGTCACACATGCCCTGATGTGGTTTTCTCCAGTGGATTTCCTTGGGCTTTGCACTTGTTGAGCATGGCCTGTAACTCCTAAGTTGGGATTTTTCCTCCTCAACACAGTGATGGATATCTTGCAGCAGATGGTTCTTTGCTGTGGAGATGGAAGCTGTGCTGTGCATTGTGGGATGGTTAACAGCATTCCCCAATCTGTACCCATGAGGTGCTGGCACCATCCAGCACCAACACTGCCTGCTCTACTTGCGGCAGTACCACTTTAACGACAAAATAGGAGGAAGGCCAAATCCAAGTGGACCCAGGAGACACTGAATTCAGAGACTGCTCCATGCCTTGGTGTGAACCACGGCCATCATTGGCTTATGACTGGCTATGGTGCATTTCATTACACAAGCTCTGTGAATTTTTACATAACGCAACCTTTCATACAAGTAAAACAAAAAGAGAAATCCCAGTTGACAGTTTGGCATACCTCCTTAAGGAGTTTGAAAAAGTCTATCTGGAATTTCAAATTCTCTGAGTATAGTTCATAATCACCTTTGTAATAATCAACATTATAAAATGCCCATAAATGTATCTCCTTTCAAAATATTTATTTGTTTGTTTAAAAGGCAAAGAGGGAAATATCTTTAATCTGCTGATTCACTCCCCAAATATCTGCAACAACCAGTGCTGGCCCAAGCTGAAACCAAGAGCCAGAAACTCCACCGAAATCCCCCACAATCAACTCATTGAATGTTGAGACAGAGTATCAACCCTGATCAATGAGCTTTACAACAAAAATGCTTCAGTGTCATACAACACTGAAGACACCACTTAGGGATACCCTTATCCTGTGCTGGAGTCCCTGGTTCACGTCCTGCCTCTGCTTTCGGTTTGTGCTTAATGTGTACTCTGGGAGGCAGCAGCTAGTGGATCAACTAGTTGGTGCCTGCCATTCACGTAGGAGACCGAGACTGAATTGCTGGAGCCTGGGCATTTGGGGAGTGAAGCAGCGGTAATCAAGGCGTTTCTCTCACCCTTACTTCCTGTCTCCATGCCTGCCTTTCATTACTTTTAAAAACCAGAGAGACAGACATAGAAGGAGAGATCTTCCATCCTCTAATTCTGAAATGTCCACAACATCTCGGACTAGACCAGGATCTGGCACTTTTCCCGTATAAATGGCAGAGACTTAACTACTTGAGCTATCTCCTGGTGTCTCCTAAGGGCAACGTTAGCAGGAAGCTGGAACCACAGTGGAGGTGAAACTCAGACCCAGAGGTTCAAATGTTGGATATAGGTCTGCCAAGCAGCAGCTTAACCATTACTCCAAACATAGGTTCCAGCAAAAAATTATGTTAAATCTGCTAATAAGGCTCCAAGATATTATGCCAGAGAGTTCAACTGTGTTTCCTGAGAAAACTGACAGATATGTGTATTAGATTCGGTATCATTTGCAAGCAAATAAGCACCTTAAAATGTTTAGAAAACTATTTTCAAAGTTATGATTCAATCATTTTAGGGATGGAGTCCTTCTGTTTACTCATTCACTAAGCATTCAAGCCTAAGTATTAGTTCCAGATACTCTCAAAACATGTAGGAGTTTGTTAAGGGGTGAATCATCCCATTTCTCTGGTTTATTAACAAATGTAACCTTTTCTTTGTGGGCAGCTTTTCCTGGACCCGTAACGGGACTCATTTTGATGTAGATAAAGACCCTCTGGTCTCCATGAAGGCTGGTTCAGGAACACTCATAATCAACATCATGAGCGAGGGCAAAGCAGAGAGCTATGAAGGAGTGTATCAGTGCACAGCGAGGAATGAACGCGGAGCCGCCATTTCCAACAACATCGTCGTCCGCCCTTCCAGTAAGTGGGTCTTATGGCCCAAGCACAGGCCTTGGTGGAGTATTACACCGTGTACACTACAAAGGAACTTGATAGCATTTTAGGGGAAAATTGAATTAGAAGATGTTCATATGGGTGCAAAAAAAAAAAAAAACCTTTCTAAATTCATAGATTTTTTAAAAAAGATTTATTGTAGTGATTTGAAAGGCAAACCGGCAAGAGAAGGAGACAGAATCTTCCATTTACCAGTTTACTCTTTATATGCATGCAACAGCCAGGCCAGGGCTAGGCTAAACTGTCCACATCTCCGGTGTGGGTGGCAGAGACCCAAGCACTTGGGCCACCAGCCACGCCCTTTTCCAAACCTGTCAGCAGGGAGCTGGGTCAGAAGTGGAGCAGCTTGGATTCAGGCTGGATAGCGGCACCGAGATCACACACAGCAGTGTAGCCCATTGCACCACAAGGCCAGCCCTGTGATCCTCATATATGCGTCTGCATGAGCTTTTGAGGACCTCCCATACCCTTGCATCTCAAAATTTATTGCACCAAGCTGAACTTTTATTTCCATGAACTTCTTGAAGTTCTCTCAGGTTGCTGCTTCCAATATTTGGACACTGTTTTACATGAAAATCCTTGCTTCTTTCCATTTTTCTCCCAACAAACTCCTCAACCTAATGACTGGCCAATGCAATTTATCTTCTCTGCAAGTTCTAAATAAAATAACCAAAGCTAAACCAAAAATGTGTTTCCCTGAATTTATCTGAATGTTCATTCTTCATGTGACCTTTATATAAGCACAATTCTCGTAACCAGATGGAAACAAATACAGTATATATGAATAATCAAGGTTTTAGGTGTAATTTCTTTAAACATTTATTTCCAAATTTTCTTCACTTCCTTGATACCAGAATTGCCCTTTTGAGCAATCACTATCCAAATCTTCTAACAACCTCTAAAGTTGGCACTAAACAGTTACTATGTGTAGTACTGTTCATGATTAAAAATTTTTATTACATATGTAACATGTTTTTCTTAAAGAAACATTAATGAAAAGTACATTTTTAGAACCTGAAAAAGTGTTCATGCATCCTTGCATTCAAAGAAACAGCCCCTGGTCGAATATTCTTAAAACCATCTCATTCTAAAATATTGTGTAAAACCCTTTTCTGACCTGTCAACATATGCAATCTCATCAATGATAATACTTATGTAACACTACATGAAATGTAAGTGTAGATGTACAATTAATAATGTTATATATATTTAAATGTAATAACTTATTAAAATATTATTTGACCTTTTTTCTGTTTTTCTCACATGTCTTTTTTCTTGTCTTTTTAATGGTGTAGTCAGTACAAATTCTTGTATTTGGACTCACTGACTCACAATTTATACCCATACTGTCAGCACTGAATGAGAATCATCTTTTATTTTTTACTTTCTTTTTTTATTGAAAAGGCAGATTTACAGAGAGAAAGAGAGACAGAAAAAGATCTTCTGTCCATTGGTTCACTCCCGAAGTGGCCACAACAACAGCCAGAGCTGAGCTGATCTGAAGCCAGGAGCCAGGAACCTCCTCCAGGTCTCCCACACAGGTGCAGGATTCCAAGGCTTTGGGCCATCCTCGACTGCCTTCCCAGGCCACAAACAGGAAGCTGGATGGGAGGTAGAGCAGCTGGGATTAGAACTGGCAGCCATTTGGGATCCGGCGCTGGGATCCTGTGAGGCGAGGATTTAGCCACTGAGCCATCATGCCGGATGCCTGTTTTTATTTTTTTAAAGAAACAATATTGTATTTATTTATTTAAAAGGTAGAGATACAAAGAGAGTAACAGAGAGATCTGCCATTCACTGGTCCAATCTCTAAATTACTGCAATGGCAGGGGCTGGATGAGGCAGAAACCTGGAGGCTGGAGCGCCTCCTGGGCCTGCCGTGTAGGTACAGGGGTCCAAGTCCTTGCACCATGTTTCATTGCTTTCACATTAACGGGGAGCTGAGTTAGAAGTGGAACAGTTGGGGCATGAACCATCATAGCAGGTAGCAGCTTGACATCTTAAGCCACAATATCAGCCCTTTCAATACCGTATTTAAAACATTTGCCATAAATCAATATGTGAAGATTCAAAATCATTGTTTCCACATTTTTTGTATTTGTGTTTTATTTTTTAATGCAATTAAGATTGTGTTTGTGTGTGTGTTTTTTTTAAAAATAGGATCACCACTGTGGACTAAAGAAAAACTTGAACCAATAACACTACGAAATGGTCAATCTTTAGTACTTCCCTGCAGGCCCCCAATTGGATTACCACCAGCCATAATTTTTTGGATGGATAATTGTAAGTTTTAACAATATAAATTCTTACTTCAGGAGTCTTACAGTTGCTTACAGTCATAATAAATCACTTCCCCATGTGACTCATAAAATGTTTATCAGTAGCCACTCATGGGAGTGAATACCGTATCATTTCATTCATCCAATTAGTTTTATTGAGCATTCATTTAGCACCAGGCACTGCTCTAAATACACCAAATGCCCTTCTTCTCAGTGAACTTACAGTTTTGCAGCGGGTGAGAATAGAGTTGGGGAAGGGAGGAGACAATGTACTCATGAGAAAATCCTGTGAGTTAGCAATAAGTTTACTGAGTCATTAATCTAATGGACTAAGGGAGTAAGCAAGACCCTTAAATATCTGAGTGCGAAAGGAATAAGGGTAGAAGACACCCAGCTGGGAACAACCGTGATGTTTGTTGGAAAAAAGTCTAGAAGCCAATGTGATCAGACTAGGGAACCCAAAGGGAGGCAGTGGGTGAGACCGGAGAGGTCATGAGAGCATCAGGAAAGAGACGTTGGCTTTTGCTCCAAATCAGGGAAATGTTGAAGGATTTATCCGAAATAAACAATCCTCTTGCTTGAATTCACATATGGGAAATACAGGGGACAAGACGGGGAGGGAGACCTGCGAGCGACCACTGCTGTGGCCTGAGCAGTGTTGATGGTGCCTTGGTCAGGGGTGGCCATAGGAGACAGGATAAGAATGGCTTTCAAGGTGCAGTCTCCAGGATTGGTTGGAGTCAGAGAGGAGGCATGAAAGAAAGGAATCACAGATAACACAGTGTTTTGGAATAAACAGTAAGATTCAGTTCCTATTTCCTAAGACAGTAGAAGCCTATGGTGAGAAGAAATTAAAATGTTTTGAATATGTTTTTGTTTGTTTATCTTCAACATTACTTAATATGTAGCGAGCTTTAACTAAGTACTAGTTCCTTAGTAAGAATTTTACACTGGCTTATTTCATTAATCTCTTTTTCATCACCCGTATAAGGTATGTGCAGTTAAAATTTCCACTTTCCAGATGAGAAAACTGAGACAAAAAGAAATGAATACACCCACTGAGTGATTTCAGATTTGTCCACCTGTGTTCCAATCTTCAAGGGAATTGTTTCTGGCTCTGCTTCTCTAATCTCCCCCCAGATTCCCTTCTCAATGGGCTAGTGTGTGTCCCTAGAAGTAGCTAGCTCAATAGCTCTGCTTTGAGATTAAGAACTGGATTTTGGGATGTAAGAGTTTGCAAGGTGCTTGAGTTGAGATGCTCAGTGAGAGTCAGAATCATGAATCAGAAGAAAGATCTGGGGTTATAATCAGCAGTGTGTGAGTCATTGGATTCTAAGTACTCCTTCAGACCTTGAACTAGCAGATGGTGGGGGGCAGAGCCTGGGAGACAAGAGGCCAGGATCCATCCAGCAGCTGAGAGCTCAGGGATACACCAGCCAGGCACGGGAGCAGGTGCAGTCAGGAGGCAAGAAGAGAACACAGCAAGAGTGCTGTCTCAGGGACAAGGTGACAGAAGTGTGTGGGGAAGACATAATGAGCCCTGGGTTAGGTGACATCTAGCCTGAGAAGCGACTGTCAGGTGTGGCAGCATGGAACTCACCATGAGACCAATGTAATTGAGGTGAGAATGTATTTCTAGGAAATATATTCTATTCTCAATGACTCAGTATCCTCTGAAACCACAGGCTGTCCACTCGTGCAACAGAAAACATGGCTAGAATATTTAATTTTCACTTTTGAGTCATGAAATCATGTGGAGAAAGAATAACTAGGAAATGAAAACCAAATATACAAATAAGTCATATTTTTTATCGCATAGCAGCTTTAACTGATCTTAATATAAGTAGCAAGCCAAATATTATTGAGCTATTTATAGCTTTGGGAATAACATCCTCCAAAGGTCCTTGCCAAAATAAGGCCAAGTTATTGGGTCCCGGGTTCTTATTCAGAAAGCGTGACCCCTGTGATTAATAAAGAGACATAGCACATGTTAAAGTCTCAGAATCATCTGACTATGAAACTAATTGCTCCCCACATTGCACAGCTGACTGTGTCATTCGCACACATTGTAAGCCATTGGCAAAGCATCTGACCTTTTGAAGGGATTTGAGAATATGAGAAAAAAAATTCAGTTCCATACAGCATTCTTGTTGCAAGATGACATTATAAAGCTAGTCTTAGGTGCATAGATGCCAAGCAGAGAACCTGGAAAGGATAAAATGCCACAGCCTCAGCATCCTATAGCTTTACTTGATCTACCAGTAAACATCAAATATCAAATACAGCAGGAGGAAAAACACACATGTGGTTGACTTGTACTCATTGCGTTCATTAATAAATCCCTGTTATTTTTTAAATTATTTTTAAACTATCCTTCCCCTGAGAATTAAAAGCTTAACACCATGCATTGGTGTTAAACCCCATATCTTGACCAGGAATTTGGTTAAGACGATTAGCCTGTGCTGTTTCTTCAAGCCCGGCTGCAGGCTTTTATCCAGAGTTTTGCATTTTCTGAAATGATAGAGCAGGCTCCTATGCAGGGAGAGAGTACCCTGTGTTCACTCAAACTGACAAAATCCTACCAGGAAACACAACATCTGACTCCAGGTCACCGGAATGTGTGATTGCTCAGTTCTTTAGCCTTGCAGCTGAAGACCCCTCCGGTTGCAACACCTCTGTGAACTGAGTCAGAGCTTCAGGGTACATTTCAGCAGGCCAAGTGTAAATTCACACTTATGGCCACTAGCCCGCCTCCCAGCACCTGTGTCCACTCAGGCACTCCTCCCTTCCAGTGCCTAAGGCTGCACAATTCCTCCATTGGGCCAAGGAAGTCAGTCCTGATGGTTATTCATGTCCTCCCCTAGTGAGTGTTGGAAGGGGCCCTGGTGAAGGACCAGGCACTGTCCCATTGCGACAACAAGGGACAACGCAGATGCTAGTGTTGACCCTTCTTGATCATAAATCCTGGAGAAGAGAGAGATTACCAGTCTTCGATACATAAATGCAATGCAAAGAACCGGAAAGGACTCGTGTAAATACATGTGACGGGCCAAATGCAAGAGACTAAGCAGGCGGGGGTCAGGGTGTCCTTGTTAATGTTAATTGCCCATTTGCTGCCTGAATCTTCAATTGTGAGCTCAGATACAGCTTGGACTGCTGGGACTGTTAGATAAAACATGTGGTAACCTCTTCCAATCTTCCTTCATGCATTTTATCTTTAACAGGGAATGAGCTACCAAGGTAAATCACACAAACTTTTAATGAAGGGTGTTTTGTTTTGTTTTGTTTGGCTTACACTTGCTTAACAAAACCCTCCAATTTCACCTTTATCTCCAACCTAGAGAAATGAGTACAGGGGGGATTTTACTGTACTGTGCTTTCTTTTACAATTATTTTGCATCTACTCAAAAAGCTTTCTAAAGAGAGCAGATATTCAAATTCCTAGAATGGTTGCTAGATGTTGTTTCTCTGGCTAATCTGGACAGAGATCTCATGATGTGGGTATCTCTCTGCCTTTCTCCAGCTTTTCAAAGACTTCCACAAAGCGAGAGGGTTTCCCAGGGCCTGAATGGAGACCTTTACTTCTCCAACGTCCTCCCAGAGGACACCCGGGAAGACTATATCTGTTACGCTAGGTTTAATCACACCCAGACCATCCAGCAGAAGCAGCCTATCTCCGTGAAAGTGCTTTCAGGTAAGACAGCAGCTTCCCTGAGTCTCTCTCCCAAGGGTGTTGACAGATCCACACGGGATTCTGAGCCATCCAGTTGCTATTGACCTCGATAGTGAACAGGTTCCCTGATCAGGAAGTGATCTAGGGATGATGGGGGTTGCCCTGTGTCTGAGAAAGTGCATACATATGCCAAGTACTTGATTTTTGTGGTTGTTATTACTATTTTTATGATCACCTTCTGAACCGCCTTGTTGAGTTTCCTCTGAGAACTGGTTGGGTTTGGCTGAGCGAATGGCACATGCCATGGGAACCACTGGTTTTACTTACAGGGGGTAGCACTTGCTCAGCCTAGCTGCGTATGTTTGCTTTTGTTGCCCTATACTTTTTGACCCTTTTCCCTACAATTGTGCCCTCTTCATAATATTCTGTTTATTTCAGTGGATGAATTGAATGACACTATAGCTGCTAATTTGAGTGACACTGAGTTTTATGGTGGTGAGTTTTGGTGATTGTAACTGCTGTTTTTCCTTCATTGTAGAATTTAGTTCACTAACTTCACGTCCATGGCTATTTAACCTTATTTTTTGTGGAACTGCTAGTTATGTGTTTACTGCCTACTTTTACTGTACATTTCTTACAAAATCTAGGTAGATTCTCAAGCATGTCACTAAAACGTTTTCATGATGTATGTATGACAATGAAACTTGTAACTGTTTTCATGTGGAGTCATGTCACATGATTTGGAGGAAAATAATCTTTCATGATTGTTTAGCATTGTATTTTCCATTTTTTGTCCCATTCATAAATTTTCCTCATGAACTAAAAAACTGACAAGATACAGGCACTTGTTGGCTACTGATTCACCAATGCTTCTGTTTTACAACCAACCTTTAAATGGATTTCATAATAAAGCATCACATTTCCCACCTGTTTTCGTAAGACATAATCAGCATAATTATCTTAGGGCATCTTCGACATAATGAGTAATAGTTCTCTTTGTTTAAAAGCAAAGTCACTGTCTCCTATAGCAATAAACTGGTTAAAAATAGAGCATTAATTATATTCTCCTAAGCAGAAAATAATTGAATTGCCCTTAAGAGAATTGTAGCTGTTGATTATAGCACTATCAAGGCAAAGAATAGAAACTAAATGTGAAGTCCACTTAATTATCCAGTGAGGATTCTACTGTGTTCACTCTCCATCCTTAAGATAGAAAATAAAAAGCGTTAATGTTCCATTAGAGACCAAGGTAGACATGCAACACCTGCCTTATTTTATGTTAATATGTATATACTTATGAAAATATGAAAAATATGGGTTTCGAAACTATTACATTCATGAGTTCAAAGGAGTTTTCTCCCATAGTCTCCAAGATCTTAAGAAAAAACAATTTCTCTCAAGCATGTGCGCTTTCTGGCATCCAGATTTTTTTCTTCCCCAGAAGTAAACATAATTCACTATTATATGACTTTTCCTCTCAATGTCTGTGAGCATCAGACAGACAACGTATGCAAATTGTCAAAAGCTTTTAGACACTCAACAGCTATCATTTCTACCTTGGGTGTTTCTGAGGCCCCTTTGGAAACCAAGGCCACGGTTTGGAAAGGTCTTTTCAAATAAGAAGGACTTGGATTGTACTCTCCAGTGAGAAGGCCACTTTCCTTGTCCTTGACTTCACCATTATTTTAAGTCATAGCCAGGCCTCTTCCAGTAAATCTCCGTTTATGGTTGCTTCTGTTTTGTTTTCCATAAACTTTGTAGTTTAGGAATTAGATGTGACTCATCAATGGAGTTGGCTAAATGTTTTCCCCACTGTAAACCAAAATACCACTTTCATGAGTATACCTTTCTGAAAAACCCAGTATCCTCCAGGAGATGGACCATTTGTTTTTGCTGGGACCCGAGCACTGATCTTAAGGGATACATGATTTGATAACAATTTTCCTCTCTATCCTGATGTAGTCAAAATGTTTGAATCCACAGAAAATTTATAAGACCCTGACCCAAATTAAGAAAATGCACAAAGGAAAATAGTCCTGACTGCTAGGGTTTGTGCAGCCAAAGTTGTTTGTGCTCCTGGTTAACTGAGACGTAGCTGTTTGCAGGACAGACTGCATGTATGTGCGTGTAGCTTAACAAACTTTCCATCAACATTCAAAGGTTCTGCTAAGGGATTAGAATTTCAGACATCTTCTTTGTTAGCTGTTCCTAGAAATGTGTATTCATATACTGTTTAATACATGTTGATTTTCTTGTTTGCAGCTAAGTCAAGTAGAGAGAGGCCCCCAACATTTTTAACTCCGGAAGGCAGTAAAAGTACCAAAGAGGAATTAAGAGGAAATGTGCTGTCGCTCGAGTGCATTGCTGAAGGCCTGTGAGTTAATACGTTTTGTTCTTATGTACATTTCTGTTTCTTTTTCCATTTCTTGGTTTGTTTGAGAGGAAGAGAGAGAGGGGCAAACAGAGTTGCCATTAGCCGATTCATGTTCCAGGTTCTGCAACAACCAGGGCTGAGCCAGGTGAAGCCAGGAGCCAGAAACTCAGCAGAGGTGAGCACCTGTTACCTTTCAAGGTGCATGTTAACAAGAAGCCAAAATCGGGGTGTGGCCCAGCATCCAAATGCAGACACTTTGACATGGAATACAAGTTTCTTAACCACTAGGCCCAATGCCTAGCTTCTGCTGTCTTGTTTCTTATTAGAAACTGTGTAACACATTGGTAGAGAAGTGCTAATATCATAGGAAGGGTCATCATTTGTGTTAATCCCATCCCAATCATACTTACAAAAAATTTTAACTATTTTCAAGGAATACCCTATGAATCTCATGTTACCATTAAAATATTTTGGTATGGCAATAGTGTTCATCCTGAACTGGGTATGAATAATCATATTATGATAGTTGTGATTTATAATTAGATCTATGATTTGGCTGTTTTAAAACAAACCAGCTCAAAGCTTAGTGGCTAACTATTTGTTACTGATTGCTTATCAAGAGGTTGAGAAGGCAGCTAAGCTGTATTTACCCAAGCTGAACAAGTGCCAGCACCTGCTGGGTGGCTCAGCTGAAGGTTCAGGACCCTTGGGTTGGCTGACTGGGGCCGCTGAGCAACAGTTGGCTGTGAGTTCCTGACATTGCTCTAGCACTTCACCTGCTAACAGCACAACCATGCGGCACCTCTGAGGGCCTTGGCTCAGAACTGGGGCAGTTCCTTCTGCTGCTTCCTTCAGGCAGGTCACAAAATCAACTTCTATCAGGACGCCACACCTCCAAAATGAAGCCACCCAGAATTGATACGCCTTTGCCAAGAATTGCAGGGAGGCCTCACCCAGACATAAGGGCAAGTGTTACATTAGGTTCACGTTACAGGTGACTTTCTGGATACTTTCTGGCTTAACACCCTGAACAAGTACATGGGCAGAGGGGCAGGTCTGCATATAACCTTGTGTGGGCTCTTGGAAGCATGCTGCCCTGCTGCTGGCTGATCCCTGCTGTCCCTGGCCTCATAGTCTTCCCTGAATGTAGGAGTCATGTTTCTTGAGAAAGCACACGGAGGCCTCTGCTGGCCACGTCAGGAAATCATGGCATGAATACGTACTAAAGGTCCATCCTTTTCACCGTGTTTTAAAATATGTATATATATATATATTAGAACAGACAAAGCTTGCATTTGATAATTTCCTTCTCTGGTGCCATAACACTGGCTCAAAATGAGTTCATTATATCTTACCAAGTATCCATAACATGTTAAAACTAAAATTAAAATTTTAAATTTAGAATGTTGATTAAAATTTTAGAAGCTACTTCATCAAATGTATGTGCTCAGTTATTTTTATTCAGTGAAAGAAACCAAAACTAATTCTACAATTAATCCCATTTGTGTTTCTTTTCTGTTTGAAAGGAGGAATAACAGAGAGCTCTCCCATCCCTTGATCCCTGGGCCAGGCCAGGAGGCAACAGCCAGGAATTGCATGTGGGCTCCCATTTGGGTAGCAAGAACCCAACTGATTAATTGAGACATCACCTTTGCAGGTGCATTAGCAGGAAGTTGGGTCAGAAGTGGAATATTCACAACTTGAGCCAGCTGAGCCACAATGTCCCCTCACCACTTGCATTTCTAAATGACAAATACTGTGATTTTTTTCCTGAGTTCCTGAACCAAACTTCAGTGTTGCTATAGTTTCGTACTTAGCTAATGTTTCAAATCAAGCACCGACATCCCCATTAACAATGGAAACTTCTGAAATTAAGGCCAAAAGAGGCCAGGAATCCAAAATTAGAGAAAATATTAGATGACGAAGGAACAGTGCCGAGAACTTGACAATGACCCTCCAGCCTCAAGCCTGTTTTGCAACTTTGCACCTGTCTCTATGTTTTATGACTTAATAGTAAACATAGTGAGGAAACATGTATAATTTATGAGTTTTATCTGTTATCTATTGGCATAGGAATATGTTTAAGGATCTCATTAATAGTGAAATGAGGAAGATATTATACTCTAATCATTTCACATCACAAGGTAGCTTGTCATAAAATACAAAAGTTCTTCCATTTGGTATAGAATTGTGTGTGAAAATTCATAGGCACCAGAACATGTATGAACTCTCTACAAAATTTACATTCTAGCTGAAAAAAAAACAGTAATTCAGCATCATTACATTAATAGCAGTTTCTATGACTGACATGAATATCTTCCAATAAAAACTTTCTGCAGTTCCTCATGGATCAGAAGAACTGAAGAAATGTGTTTCTTTCAGTAAAGCAGCTTAGGCTAGCATTCACACTGCATTATTTAAATGGAAGTTTATGATGTGCCATAAATTATTGTAGTTCTGATTATGTGAGAACAGTAACATATGGACTCAAATGTAAGATTTGGGACATAGTTTATAGAAATCTCATGCTGATTAAAATACTTGTATGTTTTGCATGATCTTCATATAATAAAGAATTTGTTATGAACTTACATGAAAATTAGTTCTCAGGAGCAGTCTTGGGTGAGCTACTTTTTCAGTAACATTCTGACTTATTTCTTCTATCAGGCCTACCCCAATTATTTACTGGACAAAAGAAGATGGAATACTACCCCCCAATCGGACATTTTATAGAAACTTCAAGAAAACCTTGCAGATCACTCAGGTTTCAGAAGCAGACTCTGGAAATTACCAGTGTATAGCAAAAAATACACTGGGAACCATCCATCACACTATTTCTGTGACAGTTAAAGGTACCTCGATGCTTTAAATGTATTTCTGTCGTCTTCAGGCCAGGCCTTGAAGGACCAATGCAATGTGCCTTTGATTATGTTCTTCAATGAAGACAAATGCAAATTTCTATCAACATTTGCACTACCTTCAAACTCTTCTCGGTGACATTTGTAGTGCATCTAAGTCGGGTTAAAAATCCCCTTCTGAAGAATTCCAGTCAATAAATCTGGAAGGAATAATGGAAATAAAAAGTCACTGTTACAGCCCCACAGTGATAACTGCTGTCAGCAGGATCTACCAATGAATGCTATCGTTGGTGAAGGAAAAGAGAAACAGGGCATTTGCATAGCCGCAAAATATTTCTCTCTTCCCCAGCCCCCGCAAAAATGAGCTTCAGGGTCAGGTTTAATCTGAGGCTTCAGGACTCCTGCCATCTGGGCTTCCTGCCCTGTGAGTTTGTGGCTGGGCTTGGTGACTCTGTGCTGCTGGAATAGGGGACACGTGAGGACAGTAACCTTGTAGCGGAAAAGGCTGGTGGGCAGCACCTTAGCCAGGTGGCATAAATGGACATCACCAATATTGAGCAGCAACTTCAGGAACTTCCCAGGGTGGTAGAGTCAGATAATCATCTCTTTTTCTCCCCAGAACAAACCCTCAATCTAATTCTGAGAAAACTTCAAACTCAAGTTGAAAGACATTCTACGAAGTTACTGCCCAGTACTCTTTTGAAGGGTCAAGTCATGAATGACAAGGATAGATCAATGAGTTATCAGATTAGAGGAAACTGGGAAATCATGGCCTGCAGAAGTAGTGTGTGGGCCAGGATCTTGGGACAGAAGCAGTGTGTTAGTGGGAAAACTGGATATCCTGATGAACTGTACAGTTTAATTAATAGTACGATGCCAATGTAAGCTTCTTATAATGATGACTGTACTTTGGTCATGTAAGTTATTAACATTAGAAGAAACCAAGGGAAAGATATGTGTGAATATTTTGTACAATCTTTGCAATTTTTCAAAAGGCAACATTGTATTAATTGTTCTCTAATTTTATAATTATATATAGTATATAGGGTTCCAAATGTAAAATCCTGTTTCCTGGCCCTACCTATGCTGTACATTGTTATAAACCTTAGATAAATCTGTCACCTGTTTAATTATGTATTTGAATGCAAGAGATACAGAGAGATCTTCATTCTACTGGTTCACTCCCCTAATGTCTGCAGTCGTCTCTGAAGCCAGGAGTTGAGAACTCAGTGTGGGTGCTCCAGGTGGGTGGCATCACCGTTGGTCGGCCAGGAGGCGCATTAGCTAGCAGTTAGTGTTGGAAGCGGAGCTAGAACTTGAACCTAGCATTCTGATTTAGGTGTCATTTTGATGCAGGTATCAAAGTAGACTCTGAGCCATTGTACCAAACGCCCAACCCTCTGTCACCCATTTAGCATCCAGCTACTCTTAAAGTAAAAGGAGACTGTAAGACTCATATCAAACAGGTCTAGAGAAAATATATATGCATCCCTTGAAACATTCTTTGGAGAATCTGAAGTGTTACTCAAACCGTTGCTTACAAACTTACTCAAGACTAATAAGTGTTTTTACAAAACCCTGGTTTTTTATTGTCAAATAGTAAGAAATGCTAACGTACTAAAATTTCATATGATTCAGTCTTTTGGCCTTTTTCTTGTTTCTCTCAATAAAGCGGCTCCATATTGGATCATGGCCCCTCAAAACCTGGTGCTGTCCCCGGGAGAGAATGGGACGCTGATCTGCAGTGCTAACGGTGACCCCAAGCCCAGAATTAACTGGTTAATGAATGGCGTCCCAATAGAAAGTAAGTTTTCTGCAGTGTGTCGTCAGAGTGTTTGTCTACATCTCAACAATGAATGAATGATGATAAAAAGTAGTGATTCAGGAATAAAACTGCATAAGTTACACAGAGGCACCAAAGAACCTTTAGAACTCTGCTTTTTTACCACTAGACATTTACGATAACTGTGTGTCTTTTATGCTGTTATAATGATGCATGTTGACTTGGATGTGGCAGTGTTGATTCTGCTTTACAAGGGTCCTGGGGAGAATGACCAGGGGAGAAAGAAATGCCATGGACATTGCAATTGTCTTCTTTTGTTCAAAACATCCAGTGAATTATGGAATTCTTATCAGAGACGACAGGTGAGAGACCAGGCAGAGAAAGTAGTGCATGGAAGAAATGGTCTTCTGGAGCTCTGACTCCTAAGTGGAGCCAAGATGTTCCGAGTTCTCCGACATTAGGGGTGACGACTCCAGGACCATGTCCTCTGACTGCAGTCTGTATAGACTGCTTAGCCGTTTATCATTGTTCCCTGTCTGAGTGCCACCGAGATCGACTTCAGCAATGCTTACTTAGCCTGGCTGTCCTTGTCACCGCCTGCAGCCACCACCCCTGTTCTGCAGCTCCAATGCCAGAAGTGCTCAATGAACACAGAAAGGGTTTTTAGCCATCCGGGTGGCCTGGAGTAAATCCCAGAAGTTAGCAGGCCTTTCTGACAACAACCTTCCACTTAGGACACTGCAGAAACTCCGAGTGGACAGCTGTGGAGGGGGAGGGGCAGGGGAACAGCTGTGCAGGTGCAGTGTCGTTGGGCACAGGGCTATGCAGCATCCCCTGTTCCCTGTGCCACCTGGCCTCCCGCATTTGCCTGGACACCAGCTGGCTCCTGGTAGCAGAATCTGGCTACCCAGGGCACACAAACACTGTGAAAAGAAAAGCAGGATCAAGGAGAGAGACTTGGGTCCTCACAGCAAAAGGTGATGCTTTGGTGCGTTTCAGATCTGGAAGTTACCGGTGGACAAAACTGGAAGGATTGGCTGCCAATACCTCTTGTCTCTTGCTCAATGTCTTTGATATCTCTGGACCTCTAGGGCTGACTGGGTTACTAAAAAAAATGTCTGCTGAAGATAAGCAGTATATTTATTGGGCAGTTTTCTCCAAAACACTCAAAACTTTTTTAAGCTACCAAAGTCTGGGGAAAAGCACAGCTGCAATTTGCTGATTCTGAAAGAGAACCTTAATTGTTTTGTGTTGTATTGTGTCACGTGCAGAGCCTGGGAGAGTATTGTGGGCACTTGGGCGTAGAACCCAGGGCCAAAGAGAGTATGAACTTATTACTGTCAGGAGATGCCACAGCGTTCCCTTGAGGTCCCAGGAAGTCCCAGGTTAATGAGTCCCTAAGTTCTTTCTTCCTCCTCCTCGCCTGTGCAGTCTTGGTGTGGTTCTCAAAGTCACGGGCACTGTGATTTCTGACTCATAAGGCAGCAGGAGATTCTATCTCTTGCAGGATTTTAGTCATCCCCTGTGTGATTTGCCTTGGCCCTCGGACCCTGTTGCATGGACCTTGTTCGTCTCAACTACGAGGAGGGAACAGGGAAGAGAGGTTGAGAATAGGCACCTGTCCTCTGCCACACACCCCATGCTCTTGTGGAAGGGAGGGACTGAGAGCCAGTTGCATGTGGCCAGCAGCCTGGCAGCTGGAGCCTGGTGCAGCAGGTTCCAAAGATTCCACCATGGCATCTCTGAGGATGTAAATGAGAAAGACTTTTTGGTAGGCAGACTACCACAATGTCCATCACCTACCCTCTCTAACCTGTGAGTATGTTACCTTCTATGGTAATGGACTTCACAGCTGTGATTTAAGTTAAGGGCCTTAATGGGAGATTATCTAGGATTGTCTGGCCTGGGTCCAGTTGAATCACACAAGCCCTTAAAAGCAGAGTACCTTTCCCAGCCGTGGTCAGAGAGAAGTGTGACTGAGGAAGAATGATGAGAAAGGTGGACCACTGATAGCTTTGAAGATGGAGGAAGGGGTCTGTGGACCAACGAATGTCCCCAGGAGCTAGAACGGGCAAGGACATGCACCTGTTCCAGGAAGTTCCCAAGGCCACTGCCATCCCACTGGCACCTGAATTTGAGCTCAACAAGAGCCAGGTCAGACTTCCAGAAATGCAGAAATGAATGACACCGAGTGTGTGTGAACATAACAGCGGCAAGGAGAAAGCCACTACAGAATGAATGGGCACCATACTTGGAAAATGTGTAATAAAACAGGCATGAGTAGCCCCAGCCTCCGTTTATGGTCTGGTAAAGCAAGTTAATAAACCGCAGGCTTTTGCTAGGTGAAAGCAATCTAGGGTCTAAATGTAATGATAAATATGTCTTAAACCCACATTTTTTTCCTCTCACCCAAGAGACAGGTGGTGGTTACAGTCAAAGTAAAGGCTTCTTAGTTGATTCAGGTTGCTAGAGCAGTTTCAGAGAAAGGGTGATATTACTCAGGCTAAATTCATCCCAGCTTGCTGCCGCAGGGGCTACACCCCCAGCGAGGGCACTTTTAAAAGCCTGTCAGGTCATCACCTTAGGTTTAACATCCATCAAAGGGATGCCTCTCCAGGAACACAGCAGTTCCAAATGTGTGGGCACGGTCCACACTAAATGCCTTATGAGTAACCTATCGTGTTACTCACTGGCTCAGTTCGGCTTCAGGGAGGATCATTCCTGCTCTCAACATGCATTTTGAGAGATTTAGCTCTCTGAAAAGAGAAAGCTTGCTGTGTTAACCTCAGGAACCACCAATATGGGACATTTTACTTAATATTTTCACATTTGTTGCTTAGTCCTAGTCTTATCATAGACTTCTTGATTTATATTTTTGCTTCAAGAAGGAGGATCTCGAAATGGAAAGCTTTGGATGCCTTAGGGTGCTTCTGCAGTTTTTGACTGGATTTTGCTGTCTCTCTTTTTTTAAGATTTATTCATTTGTTTGAGCGGTAGGAATGTGAGGGGGGAGATGAACAGAGGGAGATCTTCCATCCCTTGTTTTGTTCCTCAAGTGGTGACAACAACCCAAACTGGGTGAAACAAAAGCCAGGAATTGGGAACTTTGTCTGGGTCACCTCTGTGGCATCCATGGTCTCACATGAGCTTGGGCCACCCTCTGCTGCCTTCCAGGCACATGCAGGGAGCTGGACTAGCGCAGAGCACCCCGAACTTGAACCAGCACTCTGATAGAGGATGCGTTACCCTCGGCAGCACGGATGCAGCTCCTCACTGATCCTCACAGCAATGAACTGGTCTCTTTGGGAAGAACCACAGTCTCTTCATGAACCACGCAATGTCTTCTGAATTTATAGTGCAGTTTTTACTCAAATCTGTGGTCACTGTTATGGAATCGATCCACTTGACACTGAGTGTTGAGCATATGCCCGTGTTTTTTGCCTTGGTTCTAGTTTCTTTCATTGCATTTGTCTGCAGCCACCTATATTTCTGCACTCCTGATAACCAGTTATATAGTATAGACCCCGAGTTTTATAAGCCTAATATAAATCTTCGCAGACAGGAATATATAATTTTTTATGTTTTTCCATGCAGTTACTCCTGATGATCCCAGCAGAAAAATAGATGGTGATATCATTATTTTTTCAAATGTTCAAGAAAGATCCAGCGCAGTGTATCAGTGTAATGCCTCAAATGAATATGGATATTTACTGGCTAATGCATTTGTGAATGTGCTAGGTAAGCGCTTTGTTTATTACATAAATGACTAATTCAATGAATGACTGCAGTGGTTTTCTTTTCATGTGTTACTGTATAAAATACACAGCCGGTGAAACTGTGAAGGATACGTGAAGATGGATGCAGATCCTGCCCTATATGATATTATGTCATCTGCATATTCCATCATAACACAGTTTTTAGAATGGTGCATTCTTTATTGCAGACATAATTGAATAGGGAGGTTGCTCCATTCATAGTGTCAAAGCCCTCAAAAAGGAAGATAATATTTGGTCCTAATGACTGAATATTATTACTCTTCTTTCATCTTTAGAAGCTGCCATGTTTCAATAGCAGCTTCTTAATTCTGATTGTTCAAGAACAAGCCATTAATCATATTGCTTAGAGTTTTTCCAAGTCGTAGTTGTACATTTAATTTGTAAGCATATGATTAGACAACTGTGGCATACTCAAGCATTGGAGTATCATGACATTAGTGTGTGTGAACATCGTATTTCTCATAACAAAACTGCTGAGTGCTATATTCATTAAAATTTATGCAAAAATGGTTTTGATGGCACAAAGAAATTAGACTTCAGTAGACCTAACTACCCCCTTTCACTTAGATGGAACTTCATTTTAAGCATTAAGGAAAAAAGTACCAAGAACTGATGGGCTGTGTGCTTAAAATGAAGATCATCACTCTTGTGAAAAGCTAAGTAGCTGGTGCGGATGCAGTTTTGACTTCTGATTTTGTGTTTACTCCATTAAGTTCGGCTTTTCTAGATTTCCCGTCTAAGTGAAAGGGGGCAGTATTTGTCCTTCGATGCCCAGTTATGTGACATAAAGTAATGTCCTCCGGTTCATTCATGCTGTTGCAAATAACAGGATTTCCTTCTTTAAAAAAACCCCTATACTTGCTACCTGTGTCCTTTTGTTAATGGTTGTTCTAACAGGTATGAGGTGACAGTTCACTATGTTTTAATTTCCATTTTCCTAATGATTAATGATGTAGAGCTTTTTATTTTTCTTGTATTTATTGGCAATGTGTAAGTCCTCCTTTGAAGAAAATGACTTCCCAGATCCATTGTCTTGTTTGTTGGCCAGGTTATTTGCTTTAAAAAATGGAGTTCGAGATCTCTGTATTTTGGAAATGAACCCCTTTCAGTTGCCAGTCATTCCTCTGGCTGCTGCAGAAGCTTTTGAGCTTGATGTCATTGTCCCTTTCGTCTCCTTTGCTCTCGTTACTCGGTTCTGTGTGTCAGTCATCGCACCCATCACTGCTTTCCCTGCCAGCTTGTGTGTTCTCTGTTTTCCATTTCACCGGCTGGGAATGTGATAGATCCATCAGTCTTTAAAGAAAAATATACTGGGCGATTACTTTTGTGCCAGACAAGATGTTGAGGATAAAAGGATCCATAGTCCCCTTCCCTGCCTGCCAAAGACTCCCAGAATTATAGAAAATAGGAATCAGTCACCCAATAATTAAACGAATGCCTGGGTCAGATGTGGGGGGTAAGGCAGAAGAAGGAATCTGGTCTTCCACACTGGGTGACTGTTAGGGAACATGAGGGAGAGAGACTGTGGTTGTGCTCTATTAGGAACTTTAGTACAAAGTGCAGTAAACCTGTCGTAGGCCTGAAATGTATTCTGATATTTCCTGTACCTTTAAAACTTTTTTTTTTCCAGCTGAGCCACCTCGAATCCTCACCCCTGAGAACACACTCTACCAGGTCATAGCAAACAGGCCTGCTATGTTAGACTGTGCCTTCTTTGGGTCTCCTCTTCCTACGATTGAGTGGTAAGTCATGGCCCTATATATCCTCCTTTTTGTAATATTTACATTTGCCAAAGTCTACACATTACAAAATATGTTAGATTTTAGTCAAAGAACATGCCTGGGGAACAGTGTTGTGGTGCAACAGGTTAAGCCACAACCTATACAAGGACCAGTTCAAGTCCTGGCTGCTCCATTTTCAATCCATCTCCCTGCTGATGTGGCTGGGAAAGCAGCCTAAGAAGGCACAAGTGCCTGGGCCCCTCCATGCACGTGGCAGATCTAAAAGAAGCTCCAAACTACTGGCTTTGGCCTAACCCAGCCCTGGCTGTTTCAGCCACCTTGGGCGTGAGCTAGCAGGTGTAACATCACTCTCCCCATTTTTGCCTCTGCCTTTCAAATAATGAAATATTTTAAAATGTAGAAAGCGCAATGCACAATCCATGGTTTTGTTTATTACTACATTCATTCAGTCAATCACAGAAGTTTATTAACCTGTTCTGTGCTTGCTACTTGCATGTAACTTACTTAGCAGGCCACTTTGCCAACCACAAAGCTGTGACATTTTACAGTACTGTGGACATCAGTGGGACTTTATGTATTGTTTCTGTAGAGACTGGTTGAAGGTAGGAGAGGGTTTTATATGCTCAAAATCAGAATTACTAAATCATATTTTCAGGATCCACCTCTTATCCCAACAAGGAAAACAACTCCAAAATTGCTTAAGTCCCTTATAGAAAATAACATAAGATTTGCATATAATCTTATGTTGTGTCTCTGTATTCTTTAAATCATCTCTAAGCTGCTTACAATACCTAATATAATGTAAATAATGTGGAAATGGTTCTCACACTGTATTATTTAGGACACAATGTCCAAAAAAAAAATCTGTGTAGGTTCAGTAGAGAAATAATTTTTTCGCATATTTTCAGTCGATAGTGAATTGAATGCATAGATGTGGAACCTGCAGATATGAAAGCTGATTATATCAGTTTTTCCCCTTTAGAATCTCTCAGAAACCCCTGACTTGGATATAACCAAGCTCTGTTCTGCTCCACTTTTTAAAAAAAGATTTACTTTGTTTGCAAAGCAGCATTACACAGAGGGAGGAAGTGGCAGAAAGACAGATCTTCCATCCACAGATGGCTACAATAGCCAGAGGTGGACCAGTCCAGCAGTAGCCAGAAGCTTGTTACAGGTCTCCCACATGGGTGCCCAAGGACTTGGTCCATCCACCACTGCTTTCCCAGGCTATTATCAAGGAGCTGGATCAGAAGTGGAGCATCTGGGACTTGAACCAACATCCATATGAGATGCCAGAACTGCAATAAGAGTGTCCAACAGTGCCGGCCCCTCAGCTCTGCTCTTTGCTGTCCTGCCTCATAGCCCATTGCCTTGTGGAACATGCCCGGCAGATCTTCTTACACTGCTGACTTTAGCATGAGCTGGAAGGTTGGGATAGTCAGTGGTTCAGTGAATGAATCAAAGCTGCAGGATTCATGTATTGATCATCTACTGAGACCCAAACATTATGGAAACCCTCTGTTACTGTGGCAAAAATAAAGACAATTGTAATACTTAAAGGAACATCAGCCAGGCCACCTTAGCCACCATGAAGAGCTGCACAGATGGTTATGGGTGTATTTTCATAGGTGATAGATCTGCTCCAGTACTAGACTTGTTTGCCTCCTCCTTTCTCATCCATCTCTACTTCTCCCATCTGACCCAGGCAGTGTGTCCCCTCCCTTCCAGGAATATTTTCCTCTTCATACTGTGAAAAGTATAATCTTTATAGCGTTAACATTAGAGTTTCTTTAGAATTACAGCCTGCAGATAGAGATACAAATAACATCACAGCTAGGGAAGATATCAGAAAGAACACCCTTTTTTCTTCCTACTTTATCATTAGTTTAGAAATAGGATAACACCATGTTTATTAAACTATGGGCCTCTCAACATAGAAACTACAATTGAAAGATATGAGTTGTCAGCCTAATTCTGCAAATCCCATTTCTTGTTGAAGTTTTTGCTTTTGGTTTGTCTATGTAATTGCTGATATAAGGTGCGCCTTGAGCTGAAGCAAATTACACCTATGTGCACTTGACAGCTGGACACAGCCTTGAATGCAGCATTTTATATCTGACTCGTGTGTTTGTAGCTTCCTTGTGTGTGCTTCTGCAATGCAGGTTTAAAGGAGCCAAAGGAAGTGCTCTTCATGAAGACATTTATGTTCTACATGAAAATGGAACTTTGGAAATTCCTGTGGCCCAGAAGGACAGCACAGGAACCTACACATGTGTTGCAAGGAATAAACTGGGAATGGCAAAGAATGAGGTCCACTTAGAAGTCAAAGGTGAGACAGAAATACTAAAATTTTTTTTTCAAGTGCTGCGTGATGTTCAACAAATTTCCCCCACTTTGTCAATGGATAACAGTAACTTTAACTTTCAGATCCCACAAGAATCATTAAGCAGCCTGAATATGCAGTTGTGCAAAGAGGGAGCACCGTGTCCTTTGAGTGCAAAGTGAAACACGATCACACCTTAGTCCCCACGGTCACATGGCTCAAGGACAACAATGAGCTGCCCAATGACGAAAGGTATTGGAAGACAGTTTCTCTCCTTTCTGTTAACACTTTCAGCTTTGAAACTTGCTGTCTCCAAAAGAGAGAGATGTGCACTTTATCCCTCCTGTTTAGTATTCAGAGAGTATCAGGTAGTTGAAATAAAACCCTGAGAATGTTTGTCTAGCTTTGTGCCTTGGTCCCTTGTGTAATGCAGGGAGAGTAAACACCCTTCGGGTCTTGGATGGCATCCCCTGGTTTTTATTTTTATGTCAACCAGTGAGAAGGAAAGATAGTAGCAAAGCGAGTGAAACAGCTGACTGTGTAGCAGTCCCATATCCTGGGGTGGGAGAAGAATCACGGTGCTTTCCAGCGGAAGCCCTTGATTTGGTGCCGCACGAGCGGAGCTGAAGATGGGTCTCACCCTTCACAGAAAGGATGCTGGGCTCTGCTGTAGAAGGTTTCTCTGGTTGCTTTGCAGCTGACTCAAACCTCAGCGCCTCCGTGGTGCCCTACTGCTTGTTAATGGCCCCCGAAGAACTCAGGTCTAGAGTTTAGTTCTGTGTTTTAGCTGGTCATTTGACTTGTAGAATCGGAAAAGGACAAGAAGAAAATACAAATGACCATGAGGTTAAGTTTGCTGGTGCTTTAGCTTGGAATTTGTCTGAGCATATGGCTTATTTAGCCTCATCAAAATCACATAGGAATCTTATGCATGTTTGGTTTTTTTTTTTTCAATTTATTTTCATTTTATTTGGAAGATAGAGAGTGATGGAGAGAGGTCTTCCATTTGATGATTCACTCCCCCATATGCCCACCAAGGCTGAGTCAGGTGGAAATAAGGAGTTGGGAACCCAACCTGGGCCCCCTATGTGAGTGGCAGGAATCCAAGTGACTCCCAGGGTGCACATTAGCAGGAAGCCAACATCTGGATGTTAGCTGGTACTCAAACCCAAACGCTGATATGGGAGCCAAGCACCAACCCCTACACATTTGAGTTTGGACCAGTCGGCAATTTCTCCTGCCCACAAGTAACCTCTGGAAAACCCTTGAGGGAGACAGCCTGTCTAAATCTTCCTATGTCTGTTGACAAAACAGATGACTATTCTTTGCATGAACTTTGTCCTCTAAACAGTTTATGTGTGTGGCAAAAAATGACACAAATTTGTCCAGTAAATAATAAGTATAACAGGCAGTTTGATGGAAATTGAACTGAATAAACAGTTTTTCAGAGTTTCTTAGTCACCTAGTAGGGATAACTATTGATCACCACCTCCCCCACCACCTTCCAGTGCCACACACACACACGAACACACACCCCGCCAGTTGCCTCTGAGGCCTCGAGTTGCGGCCCTGTGACCTGACGCACGTGGAGCTAGAACAGCTCCCCTTGTCGCAGTTGTTCAGATTTTGGGTTGGACTGGGAATGCTCAGTCTGCGTGGAACTTTTTGCTCTCATCGGCCCACTGTGTTTAGCATCTTTCCATGTCTTTCAAGTTCGCTCCTGCCTTTCTTATGACAACGAAGCAGTCCCAGGATGTGGCTGCACACCCGTGTCAGCTGCTCTGAAGCTGCTGTATATTCACAGGTTCAGCGTGGACGGAGACCAGCTGGTGGTGACTGACGTGGGTGACCATGATAGCGGGACCTACACTTGCGTGGCCAATACCACGCTGGACATGGTTTCTGCCAGTGCTGTGCTCAGCGTCGTGGGTAAGAACTGTAGCCAAGAGACGCTGTGTGCCGCCCTGAAAAGACAGACTGTAAAATGCATAGGAAGTGTTCGCTTGTTACACTTTTACACCATGAATGTTGATGAGCTTCTACTCTTGAGTTTCTTCTTTGGAAGACACTTTTGATCATTTCCGTGTGAGCATCCTCTGGGGCAACACTGGGATAAAATGACAGCCAGTCCCATTAGTGAGACTGTAGAGGGAAAATCATCTACTTCTAATCGAGTTGGGAGGATTTTCCCCCTTTATCGTTCCTGCATGATCAATGCCGTACCTCCCAGCTAATCATAGAGCCTAATTTTAGAATCCCAGTCACGTGGGATCTTTGTCTTTTTGTGTATCTTGTATCTTTTCATGACTAATTTTGATTAAATCCTTTGTATTAATGTCCTTTCTAGCTCCTACTCCAACTCCAGCTCCCATATACGGTAAACTAATATGAGTCTTCATTCACTATTCTCTGTTAAGACAGTTTTCACATTTGCAGGAAAAAAAAAATCATCACTTTCTTTTCTCCATCACCTCATTGTGTTTCTTAACGGAAAATGGTACCTGCTGTGTGTTATGTTGTGTCACTCATTCTCTGTGATCTGTCATCCCTTCATTATAAGTCTAGAATTATTTCCCGAGCTTCTTGCCAGTTGTTTATATAAACATTTCATGTGTTGTTACTATGAAATCATTTTATTTGCTCTTGGATCTAATTCTCTTGTCAAGTCTCATGGTGCTTCTGAGAAGCCATCATCCACATTGTACAGAATGAGAAAGCTCTCTCCATTGTCATTCCACAATTTGGTTTTAGCTTCAGTCTGTTAAAAGTTGTGGAAAAAAATAAATATTGTCTGGGGATTTCACTTTCAAGGAATTGGCACAAGAAAAAAAATGGATATTGAGATCATTTAACATTTTTATTAGATGCCACAGACACACTGTGTAATAGGAGATAAACCCACTTTTGTGTGTGACTTCCCTGGGTCTGGAAGACAAACCAGTCATCATTTCCAGAAGTCTTTGTGTTTAGAAAAAGCTTATCTTTACTCAACATAGGCATGCATAAAAGTAGTTTTGTGGCATAACCCATGAGGATTTTTCACAGTCTGTAATTATGCCACCTAAGACATGTCCTTGGTAGGCATGGACCGCTTGACTGCTGACAGGAAGGAAGAGCTTTATGTGGTCTCTCCCTCAAGAGCCAGAGTTAACTTCCAAGAGCAAGGTCAAACAGCGGCCCAGGGACAGTGCTAATGCCTTGGGTCCCAGAAGCACCATTGGAAAGACATGCATGTTTCTAGGTCGCCTTTCCCCACAGGTGTGCCCCTGTGTGCTCTGAGAGGGAACACACCTTGCCTGGCAGCAGGGCTGCCTGCACAGCCTCTGTGTTAGAAACCCCGTAAGATTAATGATACTGTTCAGAGGTGCCAAAGTCTGTCATTCAGCATGTTTCCGAGGGAACATGGAATCATATTTATACTGTGCTTTTATCCACCCATGTTTATTCCTTAGCACCGACTGGTCTCTGTTTCTCGTGCGTTAGAAATCCAGCTTGGCTCTTAGTGTCTCTGCTTGTGCTCGTGTTGTTGTTTGTGGGATGACGCACACAGGCAGTGCTGATGAACCATGTATGTCTGCTTCGTTGGCTTCCATTACAAGTGCTTAAGCCTCGTTTGAAAAAGAAGCAGGCCGTTCTCTTGGGTGGAGTGCCTTGCATATGCTCGTGTGTTCTCCGCTGCCTTAGTGGTTTCCATGTCGTTCCAGTTGCATGCTTGCTGACCGTTCAGTGTGATGTGTCTTTAAGATGTGCTCTGTAAATCCTATCACAGAACCTCCTCAGGATGGACGCCTAACCAGGGGGCGTGTGTTTGCTCCACAGATGTCCCAAATCCTCCCTTTGACTTAGAATTGACAGATCAACAGGACAAGAGTGTACAGCTGTCATGGACTCCGGGTGATGACAATAACAGCCCTATTACAAGTAGGTGGTGATACTGGCTTTGTCGTGGTCAACTTCAGGACCATTTTTGAAGCACTTTATGATAATATGCAATTGACATTCTTCATTAAAATATGTACTGGCATTTTCTCCTGTGGTCTTGATAACATAAAAATAGTTGCTTATGAGTGCGGATCTCTTGAGAGATGGAGGTGTTCCTGGCTGCTCATATTGGTAAGTAAATACATGGATACTTTTGTTTAGGATATGTGAAAATCATCTTAAATATTTATCACAGTATTTAGACACCGCCGAACTGCCCCCTTTAGCACCTGCTTCTCCAGTGTCCAGTTGGTCACAATTGGAGCAGGTACTAAAGAGGGAAACACAGGAATGCTAAGCCTCTGGTTGAGATTCTCATATTACATAGCATAACTAAGTGCCTGGGTCTGTAGGTGCATGAGAGGGGTAGTGGAGAGACCCAGTAAAATCATGATTTGCACCCTGCCTGTGCACTGAACTGACCCCACAGTACCCAGAAAATTCATAGTGTTCCATGGGAGAATTTTAAGGCATTTTGATATTTCAAAAACACAGTAAGAGGTTGGCATTGTGGTGCAGTGGGCTAAGCTGCTACCTGTCACACCAGCATTTGATATTAAAGCACCAACTCAGGTCACGGCTGCTCCACTCTCAATCCAGCTCCCTGCTAATACTTCTGGGAAGGCAGGAGAAGATATCCCAAGTGCATAAAGTCCCTACTACCCACATGGGGAACCCAGTTGGAGTTCTGGGTTCCTGGCTTCGGCAGTCCAGCCTGGGCTGTTGCAACCATCTGGAAAGTGAACAGAGGAGGAAGGTCCCTCTCCATTTCTACTTTACCCTTGTCCTCTGTCATTTTTGCCTTTCAAATAACTCAGTAAGTGGGTCTCTCTTTAAAAAAAAAATTAAAAACACAGTGACATTTGTCAAATACCAGATTGCGTTGATGTTCTATCTCTGTTCTATCTCTGCAAAGCATCTGTGATGACAAACAGCAGGCACCATGTCAAGATCACTGTGGACTGTGAAATGAGGAACCTGCTGTCTGGTCTGCTTGCAAGGCTCGAGAAGCTGCACAGTATACAAAGATACCAAGTACATGTTGAGAAAGTCTGGGAATTACTCACTTGGGAGATGGTGTCACAATTCACATAATAGCATCAGATGGATGGTAGAGCCAGGGAATGGCCAGATGTTATATCTATTTTACTGGAGTGGACAGCAAGACTAATTGAGAATATGAACAAAAGGAGGGAACCAAGAAGGTCTCTAGTGCTGTTTTCAGTTGTCTCTCCCAGCTGGGAGAGAAGACTGGTGTCAGTTTTGGTCATAACCAGTTTGAGATGCCTTCGTAGACAAGCACGTTGAATTACTGAGTAGGAAAGGTACTCCCCAAGTGTGCAGTTCGGGGGAGAAGTCTGCTGTGTGTACATCTGAAAGTTACCCCTTCCCGAGACTGGCAGTCACCAGCAAATGAGTGGAGATTGAAAGGAGAACCCCAGAGACTTAGCTTTGGGCCATTGCAACACAGAAAACATTACTAGTTTGTCTTTGTTTACTTATATGGTTTGCATGCTAGCATGTGGCACATAGTCATGCATAGGGGTTAGGCAACTGTTGTTTAAATAAGAGTAAAGCTGTGACAAAATGTTAGACATGGAAGAGACAATGAAAACTACACCTTGCTGCCACCCTGTGGTCTCACAGGAATATCACCATGTAACCTGAGTGGTAACACTGATACTCAAAGCCCAAGCTTACACCTAAGAACTTGTATTAGAGCAAATCTTAACTTACACCCAGAGGAGATCGAGATGCGCTCTTCTGTGCCCTGCTTGGCGTCAGTCCGGGAACCGTTTCCACATCCGTAGAGCAGCTCCACTCACTGCTAGCAGCTGCGGAGTGATGCACAGCTGGCTGCACCGGGGACTCGTTTAATCAGGGTCCTATTGGTGGACGTTGAGGTTGTCTGCAACTAGGCTTCATTTACAAACAGTGTTGCAGAGTGGATTCTTTTCTCATGTGCCTTTGAGCTTTCTGTTTGTGAACATTTTTATTCAAAATAAACTGCCAGAAAGACAGTTTCTCAAAAGGTATGTGAGTTGAATATCATTCAGTTTGATGAATTGCCATATATGAAAGATCTGCCAGTTTACACTTGCCGCATGGTCTGGGCATGCATGTTTCCCTGCACACCAGTCAATTAAATGTTAAGCCTTGGATGACTGCCAGTCTGTTTAGTGGAAAACAGCATCTTACTATATTTATGTAATTCTTTCCATTACGAAAAAAAAAATCAACGATGTTTGCGTACCTGTCAACTTTTCCTAGAACTCCATGGACCAGTTCTGAACAATTTAGGAAACTAAACTCAGCATGTTGGAGACAGCGTGACAAAGACTTCTGAGTGTTCTCAAGTACTGAGGATAATGATAGAGCTCTGAAATCAAAGGTTTATTTTACTTTTATTGGAAAGGCAGAGTACAGCGAGAAAGAGAGACAGTGAGGGAAAGATCTTCTATCCACTGGTTCACTCCCCAGATGGCTGGAGCTGAGCTGATCTGAAGCCAGGAGCTACAAGCAGGTCTCCCATGTGGGTGCAGATGCCCAAGGATTTGAGCCAATCTCCTTTGCTTTCCAAAGGCTTAAGTAGCAGGGAACTAGACTGAAAGTGGAACGACCAGGGCATGAACATGTGCCTGTTTGGGATGCTAATGTTTGTGTCTGGAAAATTAGCCTATTGAGCCACTGCATCATCCCCAAAATCAAACCATCCAAAGGGAAGTTTTCTTCCAAATAAATTGACTTATGTCTGGCTACACTTGTTAGATTGCTCTTGTAATTGTTGCTGATAGTCTACCGCTTGGCTGACTGAATTTTAACATCTTGGCTTTGCTGTGTGTCTCTGTGTTGTGGCCAGAATTTATCATTGAGTATGAAGACGCAATGCATGAGGCTGGGCTGTGGCATCACCAGGCAGAAGTGTCGGGCACGCAGACCACAGCTGAGCTGAAGCTGTCGCCCTTCGTGAACTACTCCTTCCGCGTGCTGGCGGTGAACAGCATCGGAAGGAGCTTGCCCAGCGAGGCCTCAGAGCAGTATCTGACAAAAGCTGCAGGTAAAGCCAAGATGACTGATGTGAAACAGACAACAATGCTCCTCTTTTATAGAAGTCCTAAGTTGACACATCTGTGTCTGCTTAACTTCTAGAGCCGGATAATAACCCCACGGCTGTGGAGGGACTCGGATCTGAGCCGGACAACTTGGTGATTACTTGGAAGGTGAGCTGTGAAGCCTTTGGCTTTTCTTGGTACTTCTTAGAGTGGAAAGAGAAAATAGCACCAACATAAAAAGCCCAGGTCACCCATTTCTGGGTGAAAATATGTATGTGCAATGGAGAGGCAGTGTGATGAAGTAGTTCAAAGCTTCATCTCTGGAGCCAAAATGAATGAGTGCACGTCGCAGCTCTACCACCCAGCTGGAGGACCAGCTGTCCGCGTCTGCAGAGGTGATGGAACTGTGATGGGACAGTAGTCAACCTGGCTTCCTAAAACTGAAGCAGAGAATGTATATAAAGCACCTCACTTTGCACACAGATATGCTCAAACACAAACCAAACCACAATTGGTTCATATTCTACCCTCCTGGAGAAGCCCCAGGAGGTCGGCATCAAGTACTCACAGTAAGCTACATCTTTTTTGTTTGTTCGTTTGTTTATCTGTATTTTTTGGATTTGGGAAGCTGACATACAATTTTCAAATCTATTTCAGTTTTTACAAAATAATGTCTTTTGCCTTTTTGGTTTTTAAACGTAGGAACTAAATCTTTATAAAATGTTTATTTATTTACATTGCTTTATTTGAGAGGCAGAGCAAACCTCTCTGCTGGTTCACTCACCAAATGCCTGCAGCAGATGCCAGGAGCTGTGAACTCAGTCCAGCTCTCTCCGATGGCTACAGGGCTTCAGCTACTGGAGCCATCACATGCCACCTCCTAGGATGTGCATTAGCAGGAGACTGCAAGCAGAAACAGAGCCAGGACTTGCCCCCAGCACTATGCCACACGGGGTTTTTCATTGCTACACCAAACCGCCCCCCTTATACCTATTTTAAATAGAACCATATATACAGAATTATATTACAAACACATGTGTGTGCTCCTAATCATATTACACATAGAAATGGAATAAGGTGACAAGACAACTTGTTTTTCATAAAGGGGAGAACACTTCGTAAGTTTCAGCATCCAGGTAAAATGGGCCACAGGTAGTGTAATCACCCAAACAGGAAGATATGAAGGAATCTATATGGCTGAAAGGTTTTAAACGTCACCCACTCTTGGCTGAGGAGCTTCAAGATAAGCATGCATAACCTTGAAAATGCTGATCCCAATGATACTCTGCCAGCTCTACCTTCAGACCAGAGAAGGTCTCCCCAACAAGCCGTTGAACTTATCTGTACAATAAGATGCTGGACTCTATGCTTGGTATATGCTTGCAGTGAAAGAATCTCAACTGAACTTGAACTGCGGTTATGCAACAAGGTGGAGGAATCCACCATGGGAGGAGGATTTAGGGAAGGGTGGGGGAATCCCAGTACATATAAAACTGTGTCACATAATGCAATGTAATTAATTTTAAGAAAGAAAGAAAGAAAATGCTGATCCCGAACAAGCTCTGAGCCTGATCATAAATTGAAGGTCCCCAGAGGGAATTGTACTTCCTGTTCCTGGAACAGCATGTGTAGTCAGTCTGTTTTATGAACTCTGGTTATCTGGCTTCTCGTGCAGCCCTTGAATGGTTTTGAATCGAATGGGCCAGGCCTACAGTACAAGGTCAGCTGGCGCCAGAAGGATGGAGATGATGAGTGGACCTCCGTGGTGGTGGCCAACGTGTCCAAGTACATTGTCTCCGGCACGCCAACCTTCGTCCCGTACCTGATAAAGGTGCAGGCCCTGAACGATGTGGGGTTTGCTCCGGAGCCGGCTGTTGTCCTGGGACACTCTGGAGAAGACCGTGAGCATGGCTGTTTCCTTTGTACTTTTCTTCAGCAAGAGGCAAGTTCAGGCGCAGGGCAAAGCCAGGTCCAGAGGTGCTCAAGTTGCACAGGAGAGGTGGAAGTTATTTTATTTAGCTTCTCTGAATTTAGACATCCTGCTTTGGAAAGAAAAAAAAGCGGGGGAGGGTAGCATGTTAACGGTGGCTGTTTTATTTTTTTGAGATTTCTGTATTTGAAAGACAGGATTTTAGATAGAGAGAAATTGTTCCTTCCCTGATTACATCCCCAAGTGTCTACAACAGCAGTGCCAGGCTAAAGCCAGGAGTCAAGAACTCCATCTAGATCTCATACACGGGGCTGTCTTCTGCTCTCTGGGGCACGTTAGCAGGGAGCTGTATCAGAAGTGGAGCAGCTTGGACTCAAACCGTTGTCCATAATGGGATGCTGGTGCTGCAGGCACTTGTTTAACCCACTCTGCCATGCCCTGTGACTCCTTCCTTGAAAATTGTTGTTCTCAGAAAGTCAAATGAACAGAGACCAGAATCATCTATTTTGATTTTTAGAAATCTGAAGAACAGGGCGTGTTTCAAGGCAAAGTAATGAGAGGCAGTGACATTTTGCCTGAATTCATCGTGGCGCTAACACCTGTGCCCCTCATTTCCTGTCGTTTCTCCTAGTCCCCATGGTGGCTCCTGGAAACGTGCACGTGAATGTGGTGAACAGCACCTTAGCCGAAGTGCACTGGGACCCCGTACCTCTGAAAAGTATTCGAGGACACCTCCAAGGCTATCGGGCAAGTCAGGAGGGACATTTTCTGTTCTTAGGCCACCTGCCACGCGCACTTCACAAGGTTGGAGCTCCTGGGTTGTCTCAGGAGCCCGGGATTTCTCATTGGGCTGTTGCCCCAGGCAGCACCCCATCTGAAGGACCCCATCTAGAGATGACTCCAACTCTCACTGTGTCCCAATGTTTTCTCTGCCTTCCCCACAGGTCCAAGTTTCTGCCAACTCAGTAATTAATGTGCATAAAAAATATGAAAAGTGAATTCTTTTTTTAAAGAATGATTTTATTTATTTGGAAGGCAGAAAGAGGGGGAGAGACACAGAGAAAGATCTTCCATTCACTGGTTCGTGTATCAGATGGCTACTGGGTCAGGCTGAAGCCAGGAGCCAGGACCTTTACAGCCATTTGGGTGCAGGGACCCAAGCACTTGAGCCACCCTCTACTACTTTTCCGCGTGGATAACTAATTGTTAAATAACTAGACTAATTAAATACATCTAGCTGTAAAGCAATATGGACCATGTGTATTGAATATGTAAAATTGACCTGGTAATAATTTGTGCATCTTCAAATAATTCAGATTGTAACTGAGGACCATTTAGTCACAACTGAATAATTCTTATAATCGTCAATTGTCTTCCTTTTGGAAGCGTGGAAAGATGAAATCCCTACAAATTTCTGTTTGATCAACAGGCACCCAAGAATGACACACTCCTTAATTTGCTAATCCTGACCTCTAGCGTTCACTTTTTGCACAGCATCGTGTTCACAGGTTGTAATTTTTCCCCCTCTAGCGTTACCAGCTTCTGTAGATATATTTGGTTTCTCTTGGAAATGCCTCTAGTTTCCTAAGAATTTAAAGAAGCTTAATAAGCAACAACTAGGGCTTTCTGATTCAAGTTAATTGATGCTTTTCTTATCCACCTCTCTAAAAAATTTCTCACAATTTAATACCAAAAAAAAAAAGGTACTAATTTATGGGAAACACTTTGGCTTAGTTAAAAAAACCCTAGACTCAGAGTACTCTGAGGACTCCCTTAGCTTTGGGAAAGTTATTACTCAGGAGCCCAGAACCTCATCTGGAATATAGTAATATTTAGCAGTAACAATAGCAGCCTTTCTGTGGTTTTTGGAATTCAAACACATGATGTATTGTGTGTGAACTTGTATTAACTTGAGAAAAGTAGGCCAACATTGGGCAGTAATTTTTACTTTAGGAACATTTGATACAATTAAAGGCTCAAGTCCATCTACTGTCATCCATTTGCTCGGTGCTGTTCTGTTGGTTTCCCTTTGTCCCTTCCATGAAACGGGATAGCCTGCTTGGTTGAAGCATCTAAATTTAATTTCCCTTGCCATCACTGATCTGTTGGGCTCAGGATCAATATCCATTGGTTTTGCTAGTAATTTTCTTCTAAAACGCACCAAAGAATGTTCTGGAAATACAAACGTTTTAAATCCACAAACCTGAGGATTCTTGCTTGCTCCGTGGTGCATCCCTGCGTTCTGTTCCTGCTGTTTCAGATTTACTACTGGAAGGCGTCACAAAGGAACAGACGTCACCTGGAGAAGAAGATCCTCACCTTCCAGGGCAGCAAGACCCATGGCATGTTGCCAGGGCTCGAGCCCTTCAGCCACTACACGCTCAACGTGCGGGTGGTCAACGGGAAGGGGGAGGGCCCGGCCAGCCCCGACAGAGTCTTCCACACTCCAGAAGGAGGTATGGGATGGTCGGGTCTCTGAGATGTGTGGCCTGGGAGACTTATGTTCTGGGGGTCCCATGTTATCTTTTCTAAGATGAGCACAACACACGCAAAAGTGGCAGCAGATCACGCGTCGGTGGCCAGAACACCGTTCTGGGTCATCCTCTCCCTCGGCTTCTGGTTTTGCTTCACATTTGTACTTTCCAAAACCTTGCTTATTTGGTGTTCATTTGGGTCACTCATCCTCTGGCCTGAGGCAAGTTCTAGAACTTCTCCAAGCCTCAGCAGCCTCATGTGGAAGGCGTGTAAACTCAATTGGGTCTCCCAAGCAGAACATGTAGGAACAAAACTGTTCGGAGCTGTTTCTATAAGCACCTTCTCACAACCATCTTTACCAGCACATATGTAACTGGCATATTAGGTCAACTTGTTCAAGTTATGTATATTTGTAAAACTGTAAACTTGAGCTGAGTTAGAATATTGGAGATCTTGGCTACATAGTTTGGAAAGAGAAGGAGAAATTATTTTGGAAAAAAAGAATGCCTCACCACAAGCTGAGAGCAGAGGGGATTCTGCACAACTGATGGAATGAGGAGAGTGGGAGTTTGGGCACTGATGCTTGGAGTCTACAGAGTGAGGGAGAAATGGGCCTGGGACTAAGGATGGGGAGTGGAAAAACCACAAAATGGGCTTTATCTGTTTCTGTGTCCAACCAGGCATGAAAATAGCCCAGATATCTTCCATGGATCCCTTGCAGCCCTTTGATAAGGGAGTGCCCAGACACACCCCCGTCCCCATTCAGAGCTCAGGTGTTGCCAAGCATCACCCTGTGCATCCCATTTCCCATTCCACAGAGGTGCTTGACCTTCATCTCACTTGGGGCTCCTTCCACTCAAGCCTTCCGCTAGTCCTTTAGAAGGAGCAGGAGAGGGTGTCCTGGAAGAGAGAGTCAGATCGAAGGGTTGAAGGAGAAGGAAGCGAGGAGTATGATGACACAAAGGCACGAGGCAGCCAGGCTCCTCCAGGCTACTGAGAGCTGCATGGTGGGAAATGGGGAGGAAAGAGAGGAAGGTCAGCTAGGGAGGTGCTGTGTCATGCTGATCCTGGGTGCAGTGAATGTTCACCAGAGGCTCTTCCATTGGGGAACGTAGGCCTTTGAGAGGTGTGGGTGGGCAGGAAGAACAGCATTGAATAGGCTTAAAGAGCTCCATGAGTCTCCTAACATGGCATGCAAAAATGCTGGTGTATGTTTGAGACTTCTTTTTTTTTTTTTTTGGCTGACACCAGTGTTTTCCAAGAGTCCTGGGTTCCCCAGAAATTAAAAAACACTTATTAGAGTGGAAGAGCTTAGAGCTATGCTTTGAAGTTCTGTGCCCCAGAAAAGGCAACTAAGAGCCTACAATGGGAAGCAACACAGAGGAAGGGACGAAGAGGGAATGGGTATGATTTAGATGAAGGTGGTGGTGTTGCCAAGACTTAGCACCCTAGGAGAAGATAGAGTCAGGGCACAAGAGGAACTTCAGGGGGATACCTTAGTCTTTCAACAGAGTGTGCAAGTGCCACACAGCTGGTTTATGGGGAGCATGGTACAGAGAGGCCCTCCCAGCCATAATCCCCATAAAGAAGTGGATCAAAGGCCCCCGGAGCATTTCCCCTGGCCATTTGCCAGCCTCTGCCTTGGAAAACCTAACACCCCTAGGTCTTCACCATGATCAGGGCTATGCCAACACTGGTACCCAGATCCTAGGCAGCTGTCAGCTCTCGGGATGAGGACAGCCATGCACCTGGACAGGCTGACCACAGCCCAGAACATCCCTCCCCCTGGGCACACACCAGTTGACCCAAGTGAGTCTTCATGGTCCTAGAACACAGCTGCTCCCACTCAATGTCCTGGTGAGAATGATTTCCCTTCATAACCAGTTTGCTTTAGGAAGCAACATTTGTAAATCAAATAAGTACTCTTGCCACAGCAGATGTTTGATTTTGATCTGTATAAAGGCGACATTATTATGTATAGTGTATAGTGAGAGATGGTTGTGAAAACCCAAGCATTGACAGTTTGTGTGAACACAGGAACATGTACCATTTTAATACATTTCAAAAACGTTCATAAGCCTTTACATTGACTATGTACTCCTTCTAAGTCCCCAGTGCTCCCTCATCTTTGAAGATTGTTAATCCTACACTGGATTCTCTCACTTTGGAATGGGACCCACCAAGCCACCCCAATGGCATTTTGACTGAGTATACCCTAAAATACCAGCCAAGTAAGTTACTGGGAGGAGGGGAGTGTACAATATGGGTTGCTTTATTTTTTGAGATGTATCCATTAATTTGAAAGTCAGCATTACAAGGAGAGGGGAAGAGACAGAAAGCCTCCATCAACTGGCTCATGTCCCAGATGGCTCCAACTGCCTGTGCTGGGCCAGGCTAAAGCCCAGAGCATTATGTGTGCCTCCAAAATGGGTATCAAGGGCCCAAGCACTTGGTCCATCCTCTGCTGCTTTCCCAGGCCCATTAGCAGGGAGCTAGATTGCAAGTGGAGTAGCCAGAACACAAAGTAGCACCCCTGTGTGATGCTGGTGTCGCAGGCATTAATGCCGCCTGCTGCATCACAATGTTAACTTCTCAGATTTTGTCTTGCATTATTGAATAGTAATTTGTAGAATTTTGATGGTGTAGTGTGTTATAAAAGGTTATCAGTTATATGAGGCAAAGGAGGAGCAGGATTAGAAAAGTCCATGTAAGCTAGGTTTGACATTTCTGCTTTACATATTTATGAATATGATTCTGTCCCAGTTGATGGAGAATGCTTTGCTTGTTGTTTTTGATCGGCAGTTAACAGCACACATGAATTAGGCCCTCTGGTAGACTTAAAAATTCCCGCCAACAAGACACGCTGGACTTTGAAAAATTTAAACTTCAGCACTCGGTATAAGTTTTATTTATCTGCACACACAGCGGCAGGATTGGGGAGTCAGATTACAGAGGAAGCGATGACCACTGTGGACGAAGGTAAGATGGGTATGTATAAAGTCCATGTGGTGATCAGGCTTGTGGTAGTCTGTGCTTTCCTTCCTACCATCTGTCTTACCCAGACATGCATAACTATATAGACATGAATCATGTAATTCTAGTTCTGGTCGTGACTCACTGGAAAAAAAAAATTACTAATCCTCATATTGATTTAGACCTAGCAAAGAAGCCAAAACGATTTCTACACAGTATATTGATTTTATGTTTGAGCAAGAGACTTTGTATTTTGGCATGTCATCTGGTACAGAGAAAGGGAAGTAATTCCATTAATGTATTTAGAAAAGGAATTATCACTTATTTTTGTACATTTCCAAAAGCATTCTGAAAATTGCAGATTCTGTGAAAATGATCCAAAAATCTTGTTAAAAATGTTCTGGTTTTGCATGTCACTAAGCTGTAGAATTGCTTGACGAGTACTTAACTTGATTATCTACCATTGCATAAGAACTTGACATTTCTGTCCTATGATGGTTTTGAAATAGCCTAAGCCAGCTTGGATACTAGACAAGCATGAGTAAAATGGGTTTGAGTCATGGATAAGTTTGGGGACACTGCAAACCTTTGTCCCTGGTACCTAATGCAGATGACGTCTTTGTTCCTCTTGCATGCTGTAGTATTTTAAGAAGTGTTTTGTATCACTATACATGCTCACAGTGTGTTACATCTAACTATATAGTGTCCTGTTTCTGTTTCCCTTCGTTAAAGCTGGTATTCTTCCACCTGATGTAGGTGCAGGCAAAGGTAAAATAACTCATCTGCATGACTTTCTACATGTGTGAGATTTGCCATGTTCAACGTGGGGAAGTGCAGCATGGGTTAAAAAAGAGAGAGAGAGAAATAAAATGTACTTGGAAACTTAGAATAAGGAGAAGCTCTTGGCTTCTAAATGAAGGCCTGACCTTCTTTGCGAGTGGAAAGCCACGCACTGAATTCTCCCCAAATTTTTTCTCAAAAATCTTAGTCGCCGGTACAAATCTTAATATTGAACAATGCGATTTTGGCTGGATCAGACAGGACCAAAATTGTGGATTTGTCCCAGATCCTCTACATGGCCGGGCTACCTATTAGGAATTTGGAACTATTAGTCCTCGGCTGAAAACAGCTTGTGAGGAACCAGATGAAGCCAGCTTGCTGTTCTAATCTGATGTGGTTGTTTGCATCCTCGCAGATGCTCCTGGCATCACATGACACTATCCACTTGGAATTGTGGGGAGCTGTTCTACTGTTCTCTTAGACATTTGCTCACATTCAGAAACTTGGTAAATTATAAAGTGCACATTAGGTAGATTTTGCAGTGATTGATTAAGAACCTAGCCATTTTCAGTAAGCCAGATAAGATTTTATTTCTGTTTTAGATTTTAAAGGACAAAAATTCTAAATTCCTACAGCATTGTGGACACGTTGGAACATAATTTCTATGTATGCTTTTTTTCCTCAGAATAATTAGCTATGAAGTAGATTAGCTGATCATTTTACAGTCCTTTCCTGATGTATGATAAAGCATTCCAGGAAAAGCCTTGCCTCTTTTCCCGTACAGTGGACACATCCCTGTGGCTGTGCCAAGGGTTGGTGGCAGAGAAACTGCATCCACAGGGTTACTCGTGGGGAAGTCCGAGCTTTCTATTGACTTGTCCTGTAGCAAGAGAACAAGTGTATTCCTTTTTTAAAAAAAATCATGCCTGTTTTCAATAAATAGAAATCTTTAACTAGTAGTTTTAGTTGTACCATTTGATGGTCCTAAAACTTATGAATAACAGTCATCCCCCAGTATCTGTAGGAGAATGATTCTGGAACTTTCCACGGGAGCCAAAGCCCTTGGATGCTTAAATCCTTGCTGTAAAATGACATTGTGCTGCACAGAACCTACACATATGCCCCTGAAGATGGTGCATGATCCCTAAGAGACTTTAGTAGCTCACACAATATGAATGTGATTAAAGGAATTCTCCTACTTTATTGTTGGGAATAGTAGCCAGAAAAAAAAATTAGTCTATACATATCTTGTGAGGACGCATATTTCTTTGGGAATATTTCCTATCCCGAGTGTGCATTTTATCTTTGAACCAGAAACACAAATGTAGAACCAGCTATGTGATTACGAAGACAGCAGACAATCCAATAAGCTCTAGCAGTAAAATCAGAGGTCCCTCAGATCAGATGAGAAAAAAGAAGAAAGAAAAAGAAATATATTTTTAGGAAGACTAACCCAGATTCACAGATTCTGCTTAACTAGCATCCTATTTATTGAAAGAATGAATTGCATGTGCTTTTCCATTTCCCTTCTCCGTGTGAAGATTGGTTCTCCACCGTTCTTCCGAATTGCTATTTCAAATGATCTTTTATATTTAAAGATGTGCAATAGGGGATAAATAAGATATAGGACATCAGGGGAGGGAATCATGTTACCCTTAGCTTTGTAAGTATCAACATCTAATATTTCACTGCAAATGTCATTTTTAAGTGGTTTTAGTTCACTACAGTCAAAGAGGAGGAAAGAATTGTACCAAAGCTTTCATTTTTTTTTTCATTTTCTAGCAATATGTAAGAGACATTGGGAAGAAGAGATTAAATGGTGAAGCACAATACAGGATAATTTAATTAACTATATTGTGCTGTACTAACCCTTTTTATTTGAAATGCCATTGGTTTGAGAGACAGAGAGGAGTGAGGAGAGTGCATTCGTCTCTGGGGGCACTCTCCAATGCCCCAAAGAGTCCTCAGCTGGGATCTCCATCTGAGGTCTCCCACATGGGTGCCAGGAACCCAGCCTCTGAGCCATCCAGGACTCCTACATGGGTGCCAGGAACTGGCCTCTGAGTCATCCAGGTCTCCCATGTGGGTGCCAGGAACCAGCCTCTGAGCCATCCAGGTCTCCCACATGGGTGCCAGCAACCCAACCTTAAGCCATTCAGGTCTCCCACATGGTGCCAGGGACCGGCCTCTGAGCCATCACCTGCTTCCTCTTAGGGTGCACAGCAGCTGGAAGCCAGTGTCAAGAGCCAGAGCTTGGAACTGAACTAGGTACTCAAGTGTGGTTTGTGGGCATGTAACCCTTCTCTGCCATCTGACCCCTCTTCATCATTTTCCTTTCTGTAATTAATAAGAAGATATTCAAATGCTTCAGGAATCATTTCTTTTGACCCATTTCCTTCTGTGGTGAAAGCGCTCAATATCTGTGTGAGATTGACAGTTCTTGAACTGTATTTATTCAATCTCTGTCTGTCTTTAAGTAGTTTCAGGGTGTGGGATACTTAGATCTGGACTGTGAAGGCATTAAAAGAGGTGACTGAAAATAAGCAAGCAGTGGGTTTGAGCTGCGTCCCCAGTATTACTCAAAGAAGATCCTACTGTATTCATAATGTTGGATTCCACTCCTCTTAGCACAAACCAGCAGAACGCTTTTGGAGGATGAGTAGTTGGGGCTTCCAGAATAGGGAGAAAGTCGCTTTCTGGGGTAAACATTCAGGACTGACCAGAGAAGGGCTTGGTGTGCAGTTAGTGCTGAAGGTTTCCCATGAGCTCTCACTGAACTGTTTCCCTTGGTTTTAGATGTACTGTTTCTAAAGAAAGCTCACTGAGTTCAGTAGCTACTGTCTGCCTGGAATATAAAATGTACTGGCTGATTGGTTTGTTTTGAGACATAATGCTCACATGCCATCCACTTGTGTGTTGCTCAGCTTCTTCCAGTGGCTGGAACTGGGAAGGGCCAAAGTCAAAATGCCAGTGGGTCAACCCAGGTCTGGCATGGAGGTGGCAGGGGACCCAATGACTTGGCCATCTCTGCATCAGCAGGAATCTGGAGTCAGGTGCTGGAACTAGCCAGTAAATCCAGGCACTCTGGTGTGGGACACAGGCATGTCCTTGACACTATGTGTTCACTCCTGCCAATCTTAAATGTCACCATACTGAGACATACTTAAGATAAGTATAAACATGCTGAGCTAATGGGTTGAAGAAAGATGCTCTTTGAGCATCGAAGAGTGAACTGCAGGTATTTGTTTTGACATTAGAGTCAGGGGGATAAAATTCAGAGAAAGAGGAGCAATGCTGAATAGGGCAGTAAACCTACACTTAAATTCCAGCAGCTAAGTCAGACGGTCAGATGTGTGAGGTCCTAACACAGGATACAGGCAAAGGTGTGGACTTGGAATACTTAGAAGCCCAGTGTGGCTGTGGCATAGACAGTGTATGGGAATGAGAAGCTGCTGGGGTGTGTGGGAAGAGACAGACTCAGAAGGGAACAGATGCTAACATCTCGTAACCGCCCCGAATGCTATCTAAGTGAATGGATGGCGAATGAAGGCAGTTAGAAGTCCCTATGATAAAAGTAGCTAAACAGCATAGAGTAAGTTAAACGTAAGTTTCCAGTAAGCAATACTGGTATTGATTATAGTTAATAGTAGAATGATGTGAATTAGACCTTTGGAGCTTGTTCATCTTACCCATGACGTTTTGTGCCCCATGTCCACCTTCTCCCAGTCCCCAGCCCATCCCCAGTTCTTGGCAACCACTAATCTACTCTGCTACAGAAAATTCTCTACGTGACTTGTTCAGACTCCCCCCGTATGTGGTTATGCTGTAGTTGTCCTTCTGTGACTGGTTTGTTTCAGTTAGCACAGTGTCCTTCAGGGGCATCCATACCACACTTCCCATCTCACTACCTCATTCCTTCTTATGAGCGGAAGACATTTTGTTGTATGAATTGACTGCAATTTCTTTATCCATTCCCCTGCCAGGGGCTTCCTAAGCTACGTCCATAGTTTCTCCATTGTGACTTCTACTTTGCATTTGGGAGAACACGTATCTCTCCAGGATACTGATTTTTATCTCTCAAATCTGCAAAGAAAAGCAAAAATAGAAAAGAAATCCTGTGGATGAAAAGGAGTCCCTCTCCTCACAAACCATTGTACGTAAGAAAACAAAACAAGGTTCTCCTTGATAGGAGGATTTTGCTATGGTTCCTCACTGGACGTTTTCCATAACCAGTCCAAGACTAAATTCCTCATTTTCATGATTCCAATGTTTTTTCAAGACTTCATATTTTCCCTGAGTTCTTTGCTATGGGTCTTTTACATGCATGTCCATGTGTATGGTCTCTATTGAATGGTCATTTTCCCCTCATGATCTGGTTCCTTCAAAAAGAAAATCTCAGAAAACTAAAATTCATCATGTCCCCAGAAGAACCCCGTTCTCTTCCTGCTTAGTGCAGAAACATAGAATATGTGTATGTTGCTGAATTATACTTAAGAGGTCAGGTGTATGGTTTATTTGACTTTCTAAATGCACTTCTGTTTTGATGTTAAGGTACAGTTTTTCATAAAACTTCAGCAGAATCCTTTAGTATCTGTTTTGCAACATATTTTAGAATTTAATTAAGTCTTGAGTAAACGCACAAATACTTCCTGAGTTACCACACTAGTATGTTTTTTCTGAGGTAGTAATTGATTTTATTTTTTGATTACTCAAGTTATATATAAATAGGTGGGTTTTAATTCACTCAGTAGAGAGCGTGTAGCATCATGCAGTATTCATAATATGAATTATCAAGAAGCAATTCAAGTTATCCTATGCATTTTCAGAAAATGCTATGTAACAAATATAGCCGACTAGACTTTCTTACTGTATGAGATGAGTCCTGGCACAGCAAGTCTTGCTCCCTCAGTTCTTTCTTAACTTCTGGTAGAGCATATCTGGTGATTCCTCTGGCAGCTTCTCTCCCAGCACATTCTTCCTACCCAGCATTCTCCGAAGCAGAATTTCTCATCTGAAGTTCCTGAGCTCCATGAATCAGGTTCTCAAGGAAGCATGTGACTTGATTCAGGGCAAAAGCCAATATCCCAAAGAGTATTCTTGTTCTCCCCTGCCCCACCCTGCCACCCTGCCACCCCTGTTTAGAGCTGAAGAGTAGCCACATCGAATGGAATCTTATTTTGAACCATCCTATGTTCCACGATGCTTCTGTCCCCAGGACAGCTCCATAGTCCACCTCCTTGTCATATAGCAGTGAACAAGGACTGTAGTCCCCTAGGGCTGTATCTGTTGCACAGTAGAATATGTGAATCAGAAGCCATGTGACAGAGCTCAAATATTTTAAGATGATACATAATACTTTCTTATTTATCTATCTCCTAATGTTATAATCCAAAGAAAATTCTTGTAAGGAAAGTAAAAAGGGGATAAATCCTAAATTTTAAATTAATTTTATTTGCACAATTTTAGGATATTTAAGCTTACTTGATACTTGTTTGTGTGGTACTGATTATTTGTTTGTGTTATTTTTGTGTTGTGTATTTAGTTCAAGCACTAGGTCCCAGGATCAGCAATTTTACTGCTGCGGCGGCTGAGACCCATGCCAGTATCAGTTGGGACTATGAGGGACCAGAGCCTGTGACGTTTTATGTTGAATTTGGTGTAGCAGGCAGTAAGAAACAATTTCATTATCAGCTCTTTCATTTGGGTTTACATTTCAAGAGATGAAAAATGTGCTTAAAAAGATTTACTCTCAGTCATCTTGAGAAGCAGCTTGACTCAATTAAGTGAGTCAGGATTATAAAAAAAAATCATGAATTACCATTCACTAAAAATATTTTAGATGTAACTTGAAATACCATTTTTCATGTTATTAATAAAGAGCATCCATTACATATATGTGTTATTTTAGTGTGATTGTACTTTAAAGTACCTTAAAAATGATCATAACATGTAAACAAGAGTCATAGCTTATTGAAAAGTGCAGATACACAAAGAAGAAGACGTCAGATTGAATCACAAAGTAGCAGAAATCAAACCAACTTGAAAATATTCCTTTGCCCAAACTAACCCAACAAATTTTAAAATAAACTGCATGGAATGAACACGCTGGAGGAGCATGTATTATGTTTCAATATTCAACATAATCCCAAGTTAGTTTATACCCTGGCCCTACTGAGGGTAAGGCATCTTCCGTTTTCAGCAGCTCAGAAAAACTGAGGGGGTCTCTTCTAAATGCAGTGTGTTTTATATGCAAGGAGCTGGACAGCCAGTGAGTATCTGACAAAATGCTGAGTAGAGTCCAACTTTCTGGACTTATTATGTGAATAAGAATTTTAGAAGTAATCATCCTTTTAGAAAGGATAACCATTGAGGAAGATTGAATCTCTACACTTGGATGAATTTGGAGATACTTAAGTTTGCCAAAAGATTCACCCATAGTTCACTTACACTGTTTAATATTTGATCATTCTTTGTATAAACATTTTTACATAAATTCAGCATTTTTATAAGGCAAATGGTAGATAAAGAAGCTTCCTTTCATATTAAAAATGGGAATAAGTGTAATTAGTATTTATTCTGAATATCCAGCCCATTTTTCTCTGATGATATTTTTATGGAGATGTTTGTTTTAATTGATTTATCTGACCCAACCAAAATGGTTACTATTCAAAAGCATAAACCCAAATCTCCGAGATTTTGATTTGGGCTTAGGAGGAATTCTGCTTTCTTGAAGCATGAAGTAACTCCCAGTCCCTCCAAATACTCAAATGTGTTGTTTTTGCAACATTTCCTTAGGCAAAGAAGAATGGAGAAAAGAAATTGTAAATGGTTCTCGGTCTCGCAACTTCTATGGGTTAAAGGGGCTAATGCCGGGAACAGCATACAAGGTTCGAGTTGGTGCTGCTGGGGCCTCTGGCTCTGTGAGTGCAGAGGGTGTGTTTGAGACAGGCCCAGGTGAGGCTGGCTTCTCAGACAGGGGTGGAGGGCAGCCAGGCACATCGGTGGAGCCAGGGGCTGGTGGAGCTGGGCCGTGGTCAAGGCCAAGGCCGTCTTTCTGTGGGCTCTGTTGGGTTAGGCCTTGCAGTTTCCAGTTCTTTCTGGCTGTTCGTATCAAATGAATTGCAGGAACCGGCATATCATCTTTGGTCACATTATTACTGAAAATAATTCCAAAAACAGATTTAATGTTTAACCTACATTACTTGAATCATTTCATTTTTATCTCATGTAAATGTACTAAATATCTCTAGAATTAAGCTGAAATTTCCCAAATGCTTTGGAATTTGATGTAACATAAAAAAAAAAAAAATCACAATTCTTTGTGTCAGAAATGGACTACAACCCAGCAGATCCCAGCAGTTTATCTAGACAACTAATGTTTGGTTAGACTTCTTGGAACAAGAAATTCATATATGACATTTCTGTGACAACAAATTTGATTGCTTGCATGTATTTTAGTTATGTGAATGTCATCACAGTATGCAAGTAAAGTTCTTAGTGAAAATTTGTCATCTACAATGCAGCCATGTTCCTATTTCCTTACAAGATGGAAAGCAATCCTTGTTTATTTCCATGTAGACAAGGACTGTGGTATGTGTTCATTTTTTGTTTATACCCCCGTGTTGTATCCAGTCACTTCCGGGAAGTATTGTGTTGCCTGTAGAACTCAGAAGCACATGGTATTTTGTGTGTGTGTGTGTGTGTCTTTTGTTCACAAAGCATTATGGTTTTTAAAGTAATTTCTCATCAATGAGAAAATATCCAACATAATATCCAAAAGTAATATTCTGTAACATCAGATGCAGTTTTAAAATCTCCATTTGCTGAAATCATAATGTTTTTAACAAAAAAAAAATACTTCCCTGCTGTTTTGATCTTTTTAGTTTCATTTCCTTGAATACACATAGTTTCAACAAAATACTATATTAGCCATAAAAGGGAAATAGATTACCAATAGTTCACAGCTTTATAAGGTTCTTCTTTGTATTATTGATAAGCTTTAATTTGAAAATAGTAAAAGCTAAGTAGATTTTCTATGCACAGGCAGCTGGCAGGGGCTGGGCATTTACTTACCTCCACTTTAGGGTAGGCAAGTGGTTTTTCTCATTCAGTCTTTACAACAATCCTGAGACACAGACACTGTGTTTCTGCCCTCTTACACCTCATGTCAGTACTCAGAGAGATGTAGTGTCCACCACCCCACCAATAGGAATACAGAGAAAGATGGGATTCGAGGCTCAGCCTTCCACATACAGACAAGGCCAAGGCCCACACTGAAGGAAACAGGTTGTCTCAGAAATAACCGCTTCCATAGTGCCTGGGACTGCCTTCTATGGAGCCATAAAGGCTCTGTGTGTGCCGCCAACTTGCAGGAGAGTTAGTCTCCCTCAAAGTCAAGTAGTATCACATCCATATGTTATTTTTATCCTTTTATAGAAGAGAAAACAAGCCTTTTAGCAAACTTAGTGGTCTAATACTTAACAATTCCAATAAAGAGATTCCAGAAAGTTCAAGGGGTGTGGTCATATTGGGTAGGTGTGTCCCGGTAATGAAGACAGGAGAAGGCCACACTGCTGAGTGTCATTTTTCACATATGTGTATAACTGTTAGAAGGAACAAAGATCGATTGGACCCTGATGACCTCATTTAGCATATTATCCCAAGGAGCAAATGCCATCCACATCACAAAATCCTCAACCTCATGTCACTCCACCTCCATTCTTCTCCCAGTTTCTGTGGCTCTGTCTCAGACTGCTTGGTGAACTCCCAAGGGCAGCATCCTCCTCTTCTCTTGCTCGTCCACACTTCTTGTTGGGTGTAAGAATGTCAGCACATGACAGGAAAATATGCTGTTTGGCTGACTTTTAAATGCTGCATTCCTGAGCTGCAGCTTTCTGTGAGTTCTGCTCTTTTCAGGAACCTAGATTCAGTTCAAATCTTTATTTTGGCTTCATAAATATCCTTAATAGGATAGCATCTCTGCCTTTTATAGTCTGGATTTTTTTAAGATTTATTTATTTTTATTACAAAGTCAGATATACAGAGAGGAGGAGAGACAGAGGAGAAGATCTTTCATCCGATGATTCACTCCCCAAGTGAGCGCAACAGCCGGTGCTGTGCACTCCTCCTCCAGGTCTCCCATGTAGGTGCAGAGTCCCAAGGCTTTGGGCCATCTTTGACTGCTTTCCCAGGCCACAAACAGGGAACTGGATGGGAAGTGGAGCTGCTGGGATTAGAACCGGCGCCCATATGGGATCCTGGCACGTTCAAGGCGAGGACTTTAGCCACTAGGCCACTGTGCTGGGGCCCTGTAGTCTGGATTTCTTTCCAATGCTGTGTTCCTTCCCCATGCTGCTGTATATGACTTCATGAATGCTGCCTCACCTTGCTATGGCCAGGTGTGCCCTGCCATGACTTCCTATGCATGCCACCATACAAGGTATGGCCAGATATGACCTGGCGTGACCTACCATGAATGCTGCTACACCTTGCTATGGCCAGGTATAGCTTATCATGACCTCTCAATGACTCTATGCCACTTCTTCTACTGAGTCTCTTCTCGTATCACAGAGGACTTGAAGATTTGTTTTGACTAGTCCCAACAGCTTTTTTTTTTTTGTCCAAACTTTTGTCAAGTTCACTTTTTTCCCTTTCAGAACATTTCTAAGTGCTTTAACCTCTCGGGACATTTTTATGTGTAAGGGATTCTACCTAAGCAGGCCCAGACAAATACCGATTTCTGCCCACCTCCCCGCCCCCATCTCATCATTGGTTTTAGTCTATGATTCTGAAAACTCAAAAATTTTTCTTCTGAGACCTCCTACCATGGGGCCTGGGTCTTCCCAAACACAGCAAGCAACCCAATAGCTGACAACTGTTATCCAAACATACCTCCAGGGAACAGTTGCCTTATTTCTGATTTCCATACTTGTATGTTTTTATCACTTTACAGGATATGTAATGTGACTTTATTACTAAAAATTTCACATAAAGTGAAAATCCTGTTTCACTCTGCATTTTTTCCTACTAATACCCACTCATGGGAATCTGGAGTCTACCAAAAAAAAAAAAAAAAACATGAGTTTCATTCCATGTGCTTGTGGCTGTGTGTGTGTGTGTGTGTGTGTGTGTGTGTGTGTGTGTGTGATATGCACAGTTGTGTTTGTGACTTGAGTTTCTGTATTGTAGTTGGGATGATTTTAAAGTGTTCTGAAAAGATTTGATGTCTCTTGCAGTCATTCTGGGCTTTAGATTCCTTCTCATATGGGTGGGAAGTCACTTGAAATTTTATCAACACAATTTTTGTTTCACATCAACCTCTAGTGCATTTGTGTGTGTGTGTGTATGTGTGTGTGTGTGTGTATTAACATATTGTGCCTGTCTAATCTTAAATAGGGTAAGCAGATATTTGGTTCTTTCTTCTTCAGGCATAGAGGCAAAAACTCAGTCGATTTGGATGTTTGGTTTCCAACTGTCAAAGAAATATTTCCAGTCTTTGCATAATTGCACAGTAGCAAGCTGCCAGCAAGCAGTTGAGTTTGGCCAGTCACCATCTTAGTAGGAAAACATTTGTACTCATATTTGAGCATCTTACTGCATCTTGCCTTTATCAGTTGCATCTTTCCTTTATCAGTTCCTCAGTTCGAGGAAAAGTGTAAATGCTGAAACCATGTAAGACAAGACCATTTCAGCATTCTAGAAACAAGAACTCTGTAACTTCAGTCAAGCGCTTCAAGAGACCACTTGGCGTGTAGTTCAGCTTGGAAGAAAATGCAACACAAAGACCATGTGTGAATGGAAAGAAATCGAATAGATTCTCCCTGTATGGGAAGTCCCTGTAGCCTTTGAGCCTTTGTTCAGACTTTTGCCTGTTTGCTGTCTGGACATGCTTTCAGGAATGCGTTAGAGCCAGAGAGTTTAATGGCTTAGTAGTGTGTTCTTGCTAGTGTGTCAAATCCCAACTCCTGGACACAGGTTTATTCCCAAAGACTACCTCAAAGGATTGTTGTGAAGATTAAATGAGATTATGCCCTCAGGACCGCACTGAGCATATAGTAATGTTAGCTGTTACTATCTTCATCTTCATCCTCACCCTCATCATGATGACTGTGGGATGTATATATATAGGCATAGAAGGGGGCAATTGCCTGTAATGGTGCTCCGCTTGTGTCTTATTGGTGCAACTTGAAGCTCCTCTGAGTTGATGAGGCACATGGGGGCTTCCCCAGGGAAGAGCTATTGGTCTTGGATTGCTTTCCAGGTAACTTGTACTTCTTGCCGTAGTCCTTAAATGTACTTCATACATTTTTTTTTTCGACATTCCTCTTCACACTTGATTTGCAGCATTTCATTTGCCTCCCCAGACTTCATGGGGAGAAAAAGAAGTAATGAAATGCTGTTTTTGCAACAGGAGCAGAACCTGGGATACATGTAGTCACGCTGATTATGTCTGTGCCCGGAGCTCACACACATCTGACCCAACTATGTGAAATGCATCCAGAGGAAATTCAGTCCAATTAAATGCATGAAATGTGCATGCTGATAGACTGAAAAGAAGGAAATCTTTCTCCCTTGATTATTATGGTCAAAAGAGAAAAATTGAAGGCCTTGAAAGAAAGAATTCTTACCAACCTTGAAACAAATCCGCATGGGCATGTCTGAATAGCCATTGATGCTGCACTTTGTCCCATATGATTGACACTTTTGCATAAGAGCAATGTTCGTTACCCTGGTTTGCTTAGGAGCTTTGCATACTATGACTGGTTAAATAAGAGGCTTCATGTTTATTTATGCAAAGAGAACAGATGAAAGTGTAGAGAAAATGTATACATGTGAATGAGTATTTTCTCTTCAAATTGCTCCTTTATTCCGATAATGAGGCTGCTGAGCAACATATATTTCCAAGTCTTTTGAAAGGGTTGCTAAGAAATGACAAATATTGATCCTTTGAGACTTCAGAAAAATCTGGTCAGAACCAAACTCTTGTAAAGGAGATAACAAACATTTGAGGTATAAATGTGAGGTGTTACGTAAAATAAAGGCTAGTTTTTTTGTGTGAGCTGCTTTCTTTTTTAACAGAAAATTCCCGAAACATTGCAAAACAGCAGCAGCATTGCAGTGGCTTGGTTTCATTGGAAGGAAAAATACTCAGTAGATGTATACATTCTGTTCTGTTTAAAATCCAGTTTTATGTTCTTATCATTGTGTTAAACAATGCACAATTTTCCCTGTAAACAATAAACCTTTTAACTGGTTGGAGGATTGGCTTCTATTAAGAACACAATGTCCAAGAGAGCTTGATATGATTTCATTTTATTAGCGCTCAACAGTTCTCTCTGAATGTTTTAAGTGACAGTTTTTCTTTTTTGTTCTTACTAAGATAACCTATTTTTTTTTTAATTTACATTACATTCGGGAGCCTAATGCTCCATCAAATAATGATGATAATTTTTCCAACTACATATATTATATATAAATTCCTGATAGATAGCTAAACGGTCCCAATTTGGAGCCCCATGGAAAATATGTAAAAGACTACAGAATATGATAGTTGATTTTTTTTTTTTTTACTACAAGAGATGACATTATTCTTGTTTTCGCTTTAATGCCTTCGCCTCAATCACTCCGGTGTGTTTGCAGCGATGGCAAGCCGGCAGGTGGATATCGCCACTCAGGGCTGGTTCATTGGCCTCATGTGCGCCGTTGCTCTCCTCATCCTCATCTTGCTGATCGTTTGCTTCATCAGAAGAAACAAAGGTGGTAAATATCCAGGTAAGAAAAGACAATGAAAAATTGCTTTATAATACTATCTAATGATCCACTTCGCTAAAAAGCAATTATGAGAGTCATCACCCGCGTTGCAGCAGCACACCTTCCCAGAGCCGGGTATTTGGATTTTCTGTTCAAACAACGTTTGATCCCCTTTTATAAAACGGCAGTGTGAATGTTGTCGAGGATCAGAAGGCCTTGAGAGGAGGAGTAAATGAATCTGTTTGTCGAAGATACTATTGAGTCTGCTTCTTGAGGCTTTACTTAGCTTTCAGGGCTGTGTCCACTAATGCATGAACCGAGTCTTGATATAGGAATGTATAACATTGCTTGCCTGTAAGGTAAAATTGATTATTTCTTCAATTTAGTGAGCCCGAAGAATTTATACTCATTTTGCCTGACCATCCTACCTTCATTTGCAAGAAAAATGTTTTCAAAAGAATACACTTAGAAGAACATTTTGTAACCAGTGTCATAGCTTATCCATAGGTTGATAAAATAAGGATGACATCCCAAACCAAAGTTACTTTATCATCGGGGCACTTAAGTGTTAGCATACACATTATAGGATAACATACATGTTAGAAAATGTTCATGCTAACAGGTTGCCTAAAAATGCCCAAAACATCACAATATGTACATGACCACATTCTTTGGATGGTTATATGAGGATGTTTCAAGTGTTTGCAGAAACATGGGATTAAAAATAAATTTATTTTGGTGCAGAAAACTCTTAGTTCTTGCATAGCTTTTTGGTAATAGGCATTCTGCATAAGGGGTATGGGAGGGGTGGGGGGAATCCCCAGCGCCTATAAAACTGTACTACATAATACAATGTAAGCAACAATTAAAAAAAAATAAAATAAAAATAAAATTTTTTCTTCCCTAAAAAAAAAAAAAAAGAAAAGAAACCTTGTGTTTTACTATATCAAGAATTTTTTTTCCACTACTGTGTATCTTAAAAGCATGCTCTTGCCAACTGTAAATTGACTAATAACATCAATTTGAAATTTTTAGTGAAAGAAAAGGAAGACGCCCACGCTGACCCAGAAATCCAGCCAATGAAGGAAGATGATGGGACGTTTGGAGAGTACAGGTGAGTTCTGCCTCCTCTAGTCGCCTGCCTCACACGTCCTGTGCTCACGCCCTCGCCCCCAGCAGCGTGCTCTGCCTGGCACGGCGTGTGTCCCGTTTACCTTAGATGTGCCTTAGTGTTTACACGTCTCTCACTGTTAAAACATCCTCATTTTTCATTAAAAATAAATCCGTTTCCATTTTGGCCGTGGGCTTGGAGGCAAAGAAGCGCCCCACTCCTGTCATGCATCTAGGGGCCCTGTATCGATCAGTTCAACAAAACCAGTGTGCCATTGTGAGAATTAAAACAGGAAGACCCTTCATAAATGGCAGCATAAAGGAAATTGTTTTTGTAGAATTGGTGTTAACAGATTATTTAATTTCAGATTCTAAGTTGGTTTTTCCTTAGCAATGCTTGTATCCCTCTCCATACATCATGAAATAATGACTACATTGATAAACTTCCTGTGAATAACCATCAGCCACATGGCACGTTGACAAACCAGGAACATACTTGGCTTAACTCACCACTGAGCAAAATTTTAATAGAAATTATTAGAAATACAGAGAGGAATGAATTAAAACAAAATTATAGGCCACATTTTTTTAAAAAATCCCCTCTTTCAACAAAGGTGCTGTTTCCTAGGTGAGTGGTTCTTTTCAAAGAAAAAAAAATGAATGATTATTTTAGATATGATTAAAATCCAAAGCAAAAATTGTTGTACTAAAATCCTGAGATTTTTCATGCCCTAACAGGATGCCTTCATATAAAATGATTTAAATATTAGTTTTCCCCTTTTATAATCCTCTTAATCATAGCAAACACTGAGTTTTAAACAGTAGAGCTCACATTGAGGCTGTTTTTGCAGGGAAGAAAAGCTTTTAGGTGAAATAAAATATTGTACTATTAGCCTGGAAAGGACATTCGTAGATGAAATATGTGTCAATTTTTACCTGTCTGTGGTGCTTGAGTTTGATATTATTATATCTGTATCATTAAAGGCGATTTGATTTAAAGATGAGATATACAGAACTTGTTGAGAAAAATATTTTCAACAGTTTTCCATTCAGATACAATGTTTTTGCCTTTGTTTTCTCTGTCATCCTCAAACAGAGATGACTGAGTTCTAAAATCACTCAGCCTTTCTGTAACTTACAATACAGAGAAAGTGTATCATAAAAGGCATCTTGGTCTCAAAGGCTGGCTCTGGAGCTGCAAATTTGTGAAACCCCTACGCCATCCACACAAAAGGTTTCCATAATACCATTGAGTAGTCCACACAAGCCCCTGGCCAAGGGCAGATTGACTCTGTGGATTTAATTCATTCCTCTCTGTATTTCTTCCGTAAAGCAGGTGAGCTGATATTACTCAATGACTTCTTACTTTAGAGTCCTTGTAGCTGTATCCACAAGATATGCACACCACTTCCTCCTTGTTCTGTAATGAAACTCAATGTTTAATATGTCTTGACAATTGTTTGCATGAATTGAAGCTACATCATTGTCGTTTGCACATTGTCCACCTGTGGACAGGTCCCTGTTCAACAATGCCATGCTTACACGAATTTGGTGATGCACTGCTCATTTCATAGGTATTAGATACTAACTTGCTAAGATACTGATGCTGGGTCTGTTCTCGATTCCAGTACAGCTTGATTCACACAAAGACTGAACTTTGTGAACTGGCTTGGAGTCAAGTGATTGCTAGTTCTACAAGCAACTCAGCCATTAACCATGATTCTTTCAGATATTTTTTTTTCACCTATAAAATAAGTTATTCAATTATTTAATGATTTTCAATGGATTGTTCCCAATTCTGTGATCTTTGTGCTATGAGCTATCTACTAACAGCTTTTAATATGACTTGGCCCCAGAGCAGTATCGAGCAGGTGTTCGGTGCCCTTTCGCAGTTGCTGGGCTGACTTTTACTTGTCCGTGTCTTTTGTACAAATGTTGATCCATGTGTGGGGCTGTGCCGGTGAAGCGTTTTCAAATGGCTGACTTTGGCTTGGCCCTTGAATATCTCAACGAAGATTTTTCATTTGGGCCTACTGAGCATAAGCACAATTGGTATGGAGACAAAAACTTGTCACACTTGCAATGACACCGATCTGGGAGGAGCCCAGGGAAGCAAGGTTCTGGCCAGTGTCTTTAACTCAAAACTTAGTGATCTTATTCTGTTCAAATGAAGCTGAAAGTTCCCAAGGATAATCCTACAGGTGAACTTGCCTCTCTAAACTTCCAACCACCTTTCCCTGTGGTGTGGCTGACCAACTTCCTGATACTGCTTCAGAATTTTTCTCTTTGGTTTCTTTTTAATCTAAAAAAACAAAAATTAGGAGCCTTTTATTATCTCTGATGTCACAATTAATGAAAATAGTTCCAGCTATTTATTACAGACCTATTAACAGTACATTTAAATGTTCTCTTCATTAAGTCATCAGGGTCCTTTTACTATTTTGCACCTTCTGGAAGTTTTGAGCTCTATGTTCTTGATTGATTCTTACCCTCTTTCATTCTGAAAGTGAATTGCTAAGCCAATCACACACAAAATTGGTGCTGTTGGCTAAATTGAAATTCATTACTGTTGGGATTTGCTCATCTTCCAGCCTCATGATGTGGATGCCATTTCCAAGGAGGTTTCCTAGTGCAAAGAGGGATGGAACTTCAGTGGTGACCCAAGTTGATGTTTTTTGTTTGTTTGTTTTGTTTTACATTTGCTATAATCCTGTACTCTTACTCCAACACTCGCTTTTAAGCAGTTATTCTCCGGTGGAAGCCTGCAGCTTTCTTTGTTTGTTTCTTTGATTATACAGACAGTAGGATCTGCATCCATACTAACATGTAGAAAAATCAGAGAAACAGTACAACCAGCTGAGTAAGTATACTCTTATTCTTTAGAACCATCCGTTTGAAAACCCAAATGGACCTAAGTCACAAAGCAGATGTCCGCAGCATTTAAACTTGTAAACTGCCACATAAACAAAATGGACTTGCCATGGAAACCGTATCGTTCACATGACCGTGACACTGTTGTGCACATACTGGCCCACACGTGTAAGATTTCAGTGATGCAATGAGGCATCACATTTGTTCCAGGCCTCATATTTATTCTGCTCACAGTCATCAGTTTGTAAGCAGAATAGATCATGATGGCAATAAATAAGAACTGATGGGTTGGAAACAGTTTTGGGGTCATGAATGTCAGTAAAATTGTGACATACTTTGTTCGCAATAAGCTGGTGAGCCAATCATAAGGTCATTTTCTTCTGAAATGATGAATTATATCGATCAATATTGTAATGCCAAATAAACTTATTTCTGAAATAAACCACACATGCATGTGCCATATGATCTTCCTAGTAGCTACTAAATTCAATTTGCCTAAGAGATATTTGAGATTTTCCCATCTATGTTCATACATGAGATTAGCCCATGATTTGTCTTCTCATAGTCTTCTTGCTTTGTTTTGTTTTGATTTTTTTAGTATCCTATGTGAGAGGCCTATAGATGCTCTGGCAGAGAGAGAATTGTCACCCCCAGATGCTTTAGAGAGCTGTGCTGTACTAGCCTCATAAATTGATTACAGAAGTGGTTCCTCTGATGTGTCCAGACTTGAACATATCCAAAAGGAAGCCACTGATCTTGCACTGCATACGTGCTGTACCTCATAGTGGCGATTCTAAGCTTCTTGTGGCGCAAACTGAAAGCCTCAGCATCCTCTTCTCTATTTTTCCATATCCAATCCATTAAAGAAAATCCTGTTGGCAACGAAACTGCCTGCTTATAAAAAGGGTCAGGCTATCAGTGTGGCAAGAAGACCCTTCGGGACCTGTGTCCCCTCCCACGGCATCCTGGCCTGGTGCTACTAGATTGAGTGGAATAAGGAAGGTAAATTTTTAGATGTTTAAAGATTGGAAAGAAGAAAAGTATAAAAGGAAAAACAGAGAGCACACTTATAACTGTTCGTTAGGCTGTACCTGTTTGCTCAGCAGTTGTGAGATGTTTGAAAAAAGTCAAAGAGGAGTAATCAAGAAACTTTGCAGATAAAATTATATAGATATATGTGTAAGATATCATATAGTATGTATATCACTACTTATGTTATATATGGTACATAATAATAATAATGATTGATCCAGTAGTATCTGCTTCCCAGGTATTATGATTGCTCACACACTATCTCACTTAATTTGTACTCTCAATCAAGAAGATATTAAAAACTCATTCCACAAGTGTTTATCACTCCACATAGCTCAAGAGCCTTTTTATTGTGTACTATGTGCTCATAGATAATAAAAAAATAATAAGTAACCCAATGAAACCTGCCACTGTATATAAACAGTCTTGTACAGTTGCAGGTGTTCTGGAAAGATCCAGTCAAGATTATAATCTACAAAAGCATTTCTCATATCTCAAGCATATCAATAATTCCTCCCCAAAATAGAATATTAGGCTTGTTCAGAATTTGGCCAGTTATAATGGGATCATAACTAGTGAACCATTTCCTTTAAATCTTCTGAATGATTAGGAAAAAGGAGTTTATAAGTAAAATTAATTTTCATGTGCTGTTTTTTTAATTTAGGTAGTATATATTATTTTAAAAAAAAACCTGTAGATGGACTTCAGTTGCAAAATAGATTTATCTGTAATTTTTTCCAATAAGGAAAAAAAATCCTGTTGGTTTTACCTGCAAAACAGGTCTCTAATCTGATCCCTCAGTACCTCCTACAACGTTCCACTTCTGGCCCAAGCCCTCCATCCTCTGATCACTGCAGTAACCCTCCCTTCCCGCTCGGTACAGGGGATAGGGAGTGCTTTCTGTAAGTGGCACACCAGGAAACACCCCTGATGTTGCAGGCCACAGGACCGCTGCTGCAGCTCTGCAAGTCTATGGTTGACGCAGAAAGCAGGCACAAGAGGCTAAGTCATGCATGGGTTGGACACAGTTTTGCTGGAGTTTCCTAACCCCAACCCTCTAGGGTAAATTACTAATGTTGATGACCAAGTAGTGGTTTTCAAATGTAAGGAGAGGCCAGACTTTGACCTAACAGTTAAGAAGTCTGCATTCCATATGGGAGAACCTGGTGCCATTCCAACTCTGGCTGCTGACTCCAGAAGCCTGTTCAGGCCAGCTCTAGGAGGCAGCAGCGGTAATGGCCCCAGTGTTCAGGTCCCCTGTGTGTAAGACCCGGGTACATACTCATCTTTTGGCTCTGGCCCAGGTGTTACAGGCAGTTAGGGAGAGAATCAGCAGATGGAGGAGTTTCTCTCTCTCTCTCTCTCTCTCTCTCTCTCTCTCTCACACACACACACACACACACACACACACACACACACACATACTTTAGAATAAACAAATTAAATGTGAGGCAATCAGACTGTTTATGTATTGGAATCCTTGCAGGGGCTTCACACCCCCTCCATTGCAGGCCGTCCTTAGAATGTCCCGCAGGTCCTTGATCTGGCCCTGCCCGCCACCCCGCCCACCCCCCTTACCTTAACTCTTGCTGCCCTCTTCCTCTCACTTGCTCTTGCATTTCCAACTACCCCAATTGCCTGCTGCCCTCCAAATATACCAGACTTGCCCCCACCTCAGGCATAATGCTATTAAAATTGTGTGTTCCCACGCTAATATATAGTATATATTATTATATATATTATTAAAGAATTCTTTAGTCTGTTAAGTTGCTATATTCCTAATGCCCATAATAGACACTGTGTACATAATAGACGCTCAATATCTTTTATTGGATGGAAAGATGAGTGGGTTGAAGGCAGGCTGAAGGGAAAGCCAGACTACAATTTCCTGCATTCTTGGGAACACTCATTCTACAAACCAGACTTAGACAAATCACTCGAATCCAGGAGAGTAAACTGCCCGTTATCACATCCTTTAAGAGGACACCTGTGTCATCAAGTGATGAGCAGTGTTTCACAGAAGTATGCAAGTAAAGCTCAGAAGTTGGTAGTTAAATCCCAGAGATTTTGTACGGTCTCTTTTTGAAACAAATTGGACACTGGATACTGTGTCCTCGGAAGTATCCCAATGCACATCAATTAAAGATTCTCTAATAATTACCAGTTGTTGATGAGCAGGGGTGACATGGGTTAGTCGGTTTGTGACAAGAAACTGTGTAGTGTTAGGTAATTTTCTATCATGTATGACAACTTCATATTGTAGCATAAATTCTCTGCCTTAGGGTTTTCTTTTCCCTAGAGAAAAAAATCAAAACCCTTGGTTGAATTAAAAAAAAAAAAAAGCCACTCACTCATCAGAAGTTTTAAACTAAGAAGTTTTAACACAAACTGCCAGGTGGTATATTGCAGCTAAAGGGACCTCTTTGTTACATCTGCCCTGTGTATACTTTGCAAGTTTTGTATGTCTTTTCCAGTTTCCTTGTGTTTCTATGCCTTGAAAGAAAACAAAACTGCTGTGCCTTTCAAGAAAATGAAAGTCAACTTAAAAAAAAAAACAATTGGATTATGTAAACCCCTCCATTTCCCACAACTCCCCAAAAATGTTACCTGTTAAGCAGAAGGCCAGTATGTATACCTAATGTTATGGCCATGTGAATGAATGATATGAAATGCACTGATTGGTCTTGTACTTCTGGAAGTTGTGTTTAGGGACTCCACAAAGAAGCAGTTAGCTACTCATGAGTCCTGTCAGTCTGTTCACATGCCTTCTCGGAGCTACATGTGATGTGGAGAAGACTGCATGGCCCCTAGGAGAGGAGGGACCAAGGACTAAGCTGATCACAGTGCTTTTCTTTAAAAATTTTTTTAAACAGTTCGTGTTCTTTAGAATCTACAGGCAAAGGTAATGCCTTTAGGTATGTCTTCACCCATGAACTGAAAATCTCACAGAACACGTCATCACTATGCACTATCCGTATAAGGATTTTGCTTTTCTTCTTAGGCAATTTTCATTTGTTTCTTCTGCATCCTTTTAATGGGATTTATAGGTCTCTGGAAAGGTAAGATTGAAGCTTACAAGTCCAGCCTGAATGCAATAACAAAATGATTTGAAAGGCAGGAATTTGCTTCTTCTAGCTCAGAAAAAAAAATCCATATTTCACTGTTAACTAAGATCATGCTCCATCCATCTCCAGGGAATCAGAAATGTTGTGCAATTTAACATACTAACTTCTCTACTTGCCACGAGTGTTTGCCTTTGCACTCTCTGGAACTCAAAACCAGTGATGATTTCCAACTCTCTTCAATTCTCCCTTTTTTAATGCTTGTGATTATTTCTTGGCTTCCCAGTTAGGACTGAGAAACTGCCATTGAGATTAACCTGCACAATAGCCACCATCCACTCTACTGAAGGGCCAACCATTTCTGCACCCTATTGTCATCGCAATGCCATCCAAACCATTGGAGTCAGTCTGACAATTAGATTTCACTTGAGACGCTCAGGACTCCAAATGCTTGGTCCATCCCTTGCATGCATGATCTTTAAAAACTAGGCAAGCAGCAAGTGCCCTGACTGCTGTCCTTGACAAAAGTGTTTCCTCTCTTCCAGCGATGCTGAGGACCACAAGCCTTTGAAAAAAGGAAGTCGCACGCCTTCAGACAGGACTGTGAAAAAAGAAGACAGCGACGACAGCCTAGTGGACTATGGAGAGGGAGTGAATGGCCAGTTCAATGAGGATGGCTCTTTCATTGGACAGTACAGTGGTAAGAAAGAGAAAGAACCAGCGGAAGGGAATGAGAGTTCCGAGGCCCCTTCCCCTGTCAATGCCATGAATTCTTTTGTTTAGCCCTTCCAGCTCTTTGCCGTGATTCCATTTCTCAAGAATTTCTCGTAAGCACTTGTTTGTCAGGTCTCTCATGCTATGAACATACAAGTGGAAGGTCTGTTTTCTGCTGTATGTTAATATTATGAGAACAGTTAGAGCAAGAAGGCGACTCAGGCCGATTCACATGAGCTGGAATGCACAGTGCACATTTTCTGCTCAAGATGGATAGTCTTCATTTCTCGGAACTCATAGAAATAACACAACATCAGCAACAGATGATGTCATTTCCTCTTCGGAATACACTTCAACCTGATGCATGAAAAATGCTACCTGTGTACGCTATTCAAACATGGTTTGGTACTTTGTTTATACTATCCTCAGCAGAGCCCCCAAATATGAATTCCGTTTTCATTGTGCAGAGTGTTCCTGTAGTGTTCTCTAGAGCTTCAGTGTCTTGGTGGGCATTGCTGTGAAATGGGTGACTGTGACTAGCTGTGCTTAGTCTTTTGGGGGAGATTGGTAGGAAGAGTGTGTACAGTATCTACTTGCTAAATGAGTTGGTTCTGATGTTGCATTTGCTGATGCTTGTGAGACTGTGTCCCCTGCTCTTGGCTCCTGTTACTTCTAGGCTTCCTCGTGCGCCAGGTGTCACAGCAGCACAATGTTCTGCTTTCTACCCTCTCTCTGCCTACGGTTGTTTTTAGACTTAAGCGATGTGTTTCACAATGCATTTCAGCAGCGAAGCCACACAGAAAGCATCAAACACAAATCACTCGAATGTTCAGAAATGAGTCCAGAAAACCCAGGTCAAGACACATGTAGTGCCTTCAGACAGGAAGCATTCCACGCCATATGAGCCAGTATGGCCAACTAGGGCCTGGATTACTGCCCAAGTTGCTTTTTAGAAGCAAAGACAGTGAAAACTGCAATGATGGGTCGGGGCTGGGGACGAGGGAGGGAAGGAAATGTGAAAATCAGAAGCATAGGGCAATTTATCTCAGAGAGCATTTCCCCCGTAAAGTCTAGAAAGAAAAACTTTACTACCAATTGGAATCCAGGAGGATTTTGTAGTCTTCCCTAATTTCTATAAAACAAATCTTATTCCGTTAAACAGATGTCAGCATAGTAGCCAGTTCATAGAAAAAGAAACAGGTTATTCCGAAACTCAAAACACGCAGCAGCGTTCCAACACTAATACACCATTTGCTAAGACTGCACCTACATGATCTTCTGAAATGCTGTGCACCATGGAGTAATACATGCTTGTGTGCAAATGGTGGCACACACATTCGAGAATCTAGGAAACTCCAACAAGTGCTGCATCTGCAGCTTAAAAAGTAAACATATCTTCACAGCTATAGTCTATCCCACTCGTAAACACTCTATCTTCAGTGGTTTACCTCCAGATATAAACATCTATAACAACCTATGGTTGAAGGAATGCTCTGTTTCATTTGCCAATCAATTGGTTCCTCATAACTTGCATCAAGTTTAATTTTAAGTAAAGCTTTTTATATGTAGATATTGTGTTGAATTTGTAAATACACTTAAAGTGTAGATGCAATAAGCCTATAGGTGTGACATGCAAATAAACATGCAAAAATGTTTATGTTGTACTGTATGAGAACTAAGCTCCTTCCTGCAGGGCTCGGGATTGGAAAGCTTCTGCCTAAATATCTGATAGGTTCCCTTCTCACCACCACCTTTTTGCTGTGAATCTGCAGTAGTGGGTTTTGCTGCATACTGACAAGAGGCCTCTAGCTAACCTTGCAAGCTTTCCCTGTGGGGTACAGTGGGCTTGGTGCCTGGTACCCTTGATACACACAGGTAAAGCCTAGTTGGAAGGCATCCCAGATCAAGGTGGCACTAAACCACCTTCATGGTTGACCTTCATAGACCAACCTGCCTGTTGGAAAAAAAAAAAAAAGACAAATAGGTTGGCCTGGGCATCAGAGAACACAACACAAAGGTCAAGTTAATTTCAGTTAACTAGTAATTTCAGTTAGCTAGTTAATTTCAGTTAACTCACATTTTGAGAAACACATACACAGTTCTACTCTGCCCTCATGGTAGATGCTAAATTTGTGGGTGAAAGAGTTGTTATAGTGCACCAGATTTTGTATCAAAAATGAAATGTGGTTTTCAGAGTCTCTCTGTTGTAACTGCTCTTGTGTCCAGTGGAGTCTGAACGGCCACATGATGGTGTGTGTATGTGATAGTGCAGGCAAGTGCGATTGGATTTCCATCCACGAAGTCACTATTAAACCAGTCTTGCTCTCTTGGTGATTTTTCACTTTTTCAAGCACATTCCTCATGTTTTGATATGGAACGGATGTTGACCTGTTTACTTTGAAAACTCCGTCACGAGAAGTAGTTCGTGAGAAGTAGACTTAGGCATTTCCACTTGGCTGAGAGAAGGTCTGAGAAATCAAGTGCTGTCTCCTTTCCCAGAGTCCGGTGCTGGCCGCCTGCCGTCAGGCACGACCTCTGGCTCCCGCCGGACCGGACACAGTGAACCTCCGTACCTTGGCTGTCATGCTCAATGAGAGAGCTCGGACCTTAACAAGTGTGCCGTGTGTGTCTCCCTCTCCTGTCCTCTGAGCAACTCAGAAATGTCCGATTCTGCAGCTAGCCCAGGCCTGGCATGCGCCCACGTTCCACCATGACCTCCATGGAACTCCTAGCTCCAGGTCTGAGTTAGGGACTGCTGACTCAGAGCCTGCCACGTATGAGTGAAATACGAGGTGCCTAGAACTCTTAGCATTTCCACCATGGAGCCCACCTCTGCCACTCACTCCAGGGCAGCCATTCAGGGTTTTGCTCTCCCCTCCGCCCTATGACACAACACATTCCTGGACCTTGGCCCCAGGCCACACCATCAGACACAGTTCTGTGTAGCAGCGGATGGCTGGCAGGAAGCAAGCCCGGCTGTAAAGTGCATGGTGCTGCTCCCGGATGGTGTATGATGGCCCCGGTTTTGTTTTTCATGGCTGATTCTGGAAATGGCTTGTAGAGGCAAGAGGAATTAATCCAGTCTCTCCCACTCGTGAGCTTTCTCTGCAGATGGCCACCAGAGGGCTCCCTTGCTTTATCCAGTGCAAAAGAAACAGGCCTGCAAGAAAAAACCAAACAAGCCTCTTGTGATGAGCAGACTGTTAGCCTGCTTGTACACCGCAAGGTGGCCTGCTGCATCCAGGAGAAAAGGGATTTGCTGCTGAGTTCTCAGCATCCAGGCAGTAAGCCTTGGCGCTGTGGGCTTTGTCGTCCTTCTTCATGTTCAGTGTGGCTTCAGTGGATAGGGCAGGGGGTGGAGAAGCTGTGTCCTGGGTCCCGCCAGGCACTGGTATCACTGTGGCCAGTGGGCAGGCACGAGGAAGGCTCACACCTTGAGTTGGCTTTTCCCCTTTCTTTAGAGGATGTTCTTTTATCCGCCACCAGTGGTTCGATCTTTGGTGATGGCAATGCACACACAGAGAGAAAGCACAGTTAAAACACAAACTGCAGGAAGTATTAATAGTTGATAAATAGCTGCTGGGTGGAGGCAGAAAGACCTCCAGCCAGGAGAGAGACAGGGATTCCCATTGGCTCGCTGCCCTGAGCCGGCTGCGTTGGAGCAGGTGTGCATGGACCTTCTGTTGTTGTCCAAGATACCCTTCTACTTCAAAACGTTATCCCGTGCTTATGGTTCCTAACAAAGGAACAAAATCCTGAGTGCTCATGAGAGCCAGCTAAGTGGGAAGGATATGAGGTGAACAAAACCAGATACGGTGCCTGCTCTCCAGGGGTCCAGAGGCTGGTGTGCAACGGCAGCCGTTCATCCATAACCCCGTCACTGAGTGCGGATGAGGATAACACACAGGCACACGACTGTGGAGGCCGGCCTGGAATGAAGTAGTCAAAACGTTACCCTTAGCAATTGTGAGTTGAAGGCTGGGACACAAAGAGGGGCCCAGAGAAGCAGGCAAAGCAAAGCAGCTGCCTGCAGAGGCCAGTGGATCTGCAGAAAATGCAAGACCAGGCCATGCTGGGGCCTGGGCACCATGTGCCAAGTCTTTACGCCTCTCCTAGGCGCACAGAAGTGAAAAGTGATTGTGACGTCAAGGGTTACGTGATTGCACTTGTCTACCAGCAGGGGACACCACGAACGGGTGTGGAGCTAGGAGCAGTGATACTGAGGCTTTTGGGAGACTGGTAGTTTAGCCAATACATAGCACAGGCTGGGTCCAGATGGTAGTGCTGGAGACATACAGAGGGAGGTGAAGGGAAACAGGAAGGATGGGAGCAATGTGTTGCCTGCCAAGCATGGACAGGAAGGGAGATGTCAAGAGAAGCCCTTGGCTTGCTGACTTGCCCAGCCAGACATGGGATTTACATGGGTGGGAATAGCAACAAGCACCCAGGAAGGGGAAAGAATTTCAGGTTAATAACCGAAGCTTGAAAACCTCTGGGGCATCCAGTTGGAATAGTGGGGGTTGGATACATTCAGATAAGCTTTAAACCCAAAAGAAACTGCAAAGATGCTGAGCAGTGATGGAAGCCAGGAGGCCTGGATGCATTTGTCTAAGAAATGCCAGGGAGCTGTTTAAGAAGCTCCCAAATATAATGGACAGGAAGCGAGAGATGGACCTCTGTCAGGGACAACAAACAGAAGCCAGGCAGGAAATAGGAAACGTGTGTTGTCTTGGAAGCCAGTGAGAGAGACCCTTCCAAGACAGAGCATGCAGACTGGAACATCAACCCAAATGAGGCCTGGAAAGGACTTCTTGGATTCTTGAGTGGTGTGTGGCAATAGACTGGAGTGAGATTAGAAAGAGCAGGAGTTGGGCAGCAGTGTGGGAAGGATGCGTTTTGACACTGCACACATGGGTAACTTCAGGCTCCAGTATTTGGTCTCTGCACCCCTGTAATGGTGTTACCTTAAGCATCATTTCCTCTGCCACTGCTTCTCCACCCCATGCAAACTTCCCCTCCACTCTCTGGCAAACCCTTGGGCTTATTCCTTCATTCATTTGTTTCTCCAGCATGGGTTTTAAAGCCTATCTTTTTTTTTTTTTTTTTCAAATCCTGCTGCATTGTCCTGGAGTCCCATGCCCTTCTCTCTTGTCCTGAAAATACAGCAACTCTCCTTGGGATCCATTCTCTGGTCTGCTTTCCCTGACTGTCCCTAGGAGCCGAGCTCCAGTGCAAATGAGGGGTGCCATCGTCTCATCAATATCTTTCAGTGCATCAGCATCACCTGGTGCACCTGCTCTTTTGCTTAGTTGAACTTACTTCTGTAATCACTCCTTTAGGCCTTCTCCGTTCTCCTCAAGTATTAAACCCTGCCCCCTTTCCCTACCCACCCCACAAATCTTTCGCTACAGAATACCTCGATATCATGGTTCACTTAAGAAAGGGGCAGTGGGAAGGGGAAGAGAGAATTCACTCATTTTCCTGCTAGCAAACCAAAATGTCTGCCTCAGTGTGTTTGCAATGTCTACCTCTGCCCCCTGTTAACAGAGGAGCTGTTTTCCCAGCTGGGTGCAGTGCCAGCTTCTCAGGGGGCTGCAGGGGCCCAGACACCTGTTCCCTCCTCAATGAAGCAGTTAATGACTTGCGTCTCTCCCATTGGAAGCAAAGGGACCTTTGTATTCTTTCCTGATTCACTCTTCCACCCCCTTCAGTTGTAGCTTTCCTCTTCCACCTCAAGGTCAGAAAGGTTGAAATCAGACCAGGACAAGTATAAGGGAATAATCGTGCAGCTTCTGTTTGCCACACAGAACACCCTTTGTTCCCTCTGTGGCTGTGAAACCTCTCCAGTCTCACTCCATTTGTCCTGTAGACACTGTCTGTCTTCAGCTGCAATTGTTTGGCTCCTGACCTCTGTCAATGACTCAACACTTAAAAAAAAAAAAAAAAGATGGCCTCCGCCTGCACCTTGGGATCCCCTGGGGAGCTGTCTTGCCTGCTCTCCCTCCCCCACAGTGTCTTTGTCACAGTTGTCTGTGACTTGGCCAGCCCAGTCCTTGGAGAGTCCTCAGGTGATTCTCATGTCAGCCAAGATGGGACCAGGGTCAAGAATACACTTGTTCCACACCTAATGTATTTGGTGGACAGTATTTTGAATGCATCTCTGCACAGCGCACTGATTGATCTCATATTCTCTTCCATTCCTCTCATGGAAACATATCTAGGAAAATAGACCCATGACATATTGCTGATGGGAAAGTAAGATGATACAGCCGCTTTGGGAAATGGACAGCAGCTTCTTACAATGTCAAGTATACATATAACATATGGGACCTGGTGGCACCATATATATATACACACACACACATATACACACACATACATACACATATATAGAGAGAGAAATGAAAAATATACATCTACACAGACTTGTACGTTCGTGTTCCCAGATGCACTGATGATAAGAGCCGTGGAATGGCCCACATGTCCATGAACACACAGAGATGAATAAAATGTGACAATTCACAAAATGAGATGCTGTATCTATACAGTGAAACCAAATAGTATTGAGCAATGTTTTTAAAGTACTAATGCATTCTACAGTGGGAAAAATTCTCTAAAACATTGTGCAAAATTGAAGATGCCATACTCAAAAGGCCATGCATTGTGTGGTTCTATCTAGTAGAAACATCCAGAAAAATGTAATCTTATGAAGACGGAAAGCAGATGAGCAGTCTCCCAGGACTGGTAATGGGGTTTAAGGCTTAGCTGTTGAATGGCCTGAGGGCTCTTATTGGAGAGACTGAAATACTTTCAAATACTGTACTCATGATTGCACAGGGATCAAGAAATTTACTGAAAATCGTATTGAATTTTATACTTGAAACACGTGAATTTATGGTGTTGCCCCCCATACCTTCTATAAAATTGTCAGAAGATAGCACCCCTAGGCTGGTAACTTGTCCGAGCAGGCGGATAGGGCTGAGTGTAAACAAGACTTATGATGAGTGCACGCCATGGTAAGGGAGACCTCACCCTCCACTTCTGTTTCATCGAGGAAATGCCACAGACTGGCAGCTCTCCAAGTGAGGCCGCTGGTGCAATGGTGTCAGCATGGCTTATGAGGCATGCAGACTTGGCCCTGAGCACCCCAGATCTGCTGTGTCAGAAACTCTGATACGATGGTGTAATGCTGATAGGCACCAGTGTATGATGGGCACTTAACACTCAACCTGCTGAAGATCAGTGGGCCTGTTGGGATGAGAAAAAAATAAAGTAGGTTCTTTTCATGCTGGCAGAACGCTTGAAATGACCCCAATTCCTATCC